TAGAGAAATGAGTGACAGGAATATATCACTGAAAGCAATAATAACAAGAATGAGTTGAACGACACATACGTTGTGACAACATGCACAAGTTATTTCATATTCAGAAGTGGGTTCGGTCCTCAGATCAAATCACACTTCTCTTAATAAAACTGGCAACAATCTTTGGTCAACAGAAACGCAAAAAGTTGCAACACAGTTAGATCTTTTTAAAAATATAATTAAAAAGAAAAAATATAATTAAAAAAATTAAATGTAAGTGGAGTTGTAAGTAAAATCTTTAATTAGTGAATAAGTTCAAATAAAAGAAAAGAATCTCTGAAATCTGAGAATATCGCTGATGCACTTCGCTAGCAGGCTAAATTTAACTTCATCATTAATCTTCGAGGAAAGGTAATCGACAGAAGAGTACGGGAGAAGATTATGTTCGATTAACTTAGCTTTGAATTGCAAAATTCAAAAAAATGGTAAAATTTTTTGAGTTATGATAAACTTTACAATTGCCTATTTAAGATCGTTGGAGAATTCAAACCTACAGAAAATATGTGTCTGCTATTTGAGAGGTCAGAATATTAGTATGAGAGTAAAAAAATGAACTATCGCGTTGAGATGAACATCGAACATCACGCACACACCATCGGCATCACTATAACATCCTTTTTCTCAGACAAGTCTCTAAAAACACTGTTCGCAAGAAATGCTTTAAAATGAGTAAAGGGGATATTATTTACCGACATTATCTTTCTTGGCTTAAGAGAGTGTACGATACCAATGCTAACAAATGTCAAAGTTCCTATGAATCACTGATAACTTTAGCAATGGGGTCATTTAATAAAATAAAAGTAATAAGTAATACATTTGTTGCCATACAAAATAAGAATTAGGAAATTGGACAAAAGATTTGATTCTCGCATATTTATCACACTTTTTAATTGAAGAAATAATAAAACTGATCGATACATTAATGCAAATAAATCCATATTAGATACAATTAAATCATTTCTTGACGGCGGATGATAGTCTTGCTCTTATTCAATTTCTACCACTAAAACTGTTCAAATTTGAAGATTGCAATATAAGGTATAGATGGATGGATGGGAGAAAAAGTGATAAAAATAAAAAGATGAAAATAGGCGCATAAATATGTTGCGATTCTTCTGAAGTACTAAAATTGCGCACAGAAAAAAAATTACGTGTTGGAGATAAAAAGCACCGACTGCACTGACCATAAGAAGTAATAATACAGTGTGAAATTCATAAATTGATTTCAATTCCGGAAAAATAAGTATGTGATTCAACGAAACATCATGAAACACAAGCAAAGCAAAAATTAAAAGACAGAGAAACTTTATGACCAAATTGAACAAAGTTATTAGCTATAAATTAAATACGACACAATTTATTAGTATGCTGCTCTGTCCGATGAGGAATTTTAAGTTCTTCTATCCCAATTTGAAATTCGAAAGATAGCACGGATTCCTGACAAATTGCACCGCATGCAACTAATTAACTTCATTGTTGTTATCTCAGCACAATTGAAGTGACTTAAAAAATTCCTATAGTTCAGTCATGTTAACATAATATCGTTCTTTTTATCATTTATATCTTCATCCAGTATCTCCCAAATCATTATTGGATATGTTTTATTAATAATTGAATAGTAAGCATAGTGGAGCAATATTTCACTTCACTTAGAAAAGAATCAAACAATAATAAAAAAAAATTATTCATGAAGAGAATGGAAGGCACAAAGTATGAACTTTTGCAAATTTTAAAACTTATCACAAACAAGCAAACATTGAAAAACAACTGCATAAATTATTCATAAATAACTGAACAAATGAATAATTTGTCTTTTCTTCTTTTTAACTTACAATTAATCATCGGACATCACTTACAAATATCCTCTAACGCGTAATGTGATCTATAATCTACCAATATGCAAGAAAAATTAATAAAATAAATTCAATTAAACTAAAATTTTGAAGTTTAGACAAATTACTAGCGTATTTTTTCGGTCGAAAAATGAATTCATTCACAAAAAATAACATATCTCAACCGATTCTGCAAGCAAAAGAAAAAAGTCGGAGGAAAGAATAGTAAACATCATCGTGAAATTATTTTGAGAAAGTTTACCTCATATTCTGAAGTTTCAAAACTAAAGATAACGATAATCCGATTATTTATTTAAAACAAGCGGCATTTGATGATTTTAATCAGACGCAGATCTTTCATAAGTGTATAGAAAAAATAAAAATAGGCATACCATTCAATCTATTAAAAAAACTACTCAAAAATGAAACCACAATTTTGTTCACTTATCCAGTTAAAAAAGGGACTGAAATTTTGGAAAATAAGAAAAAATTAAAAATTTGAATAAACTTTTCAAATCAAAAAGTCAGAATGAAATGATCGTCGGATGACAAGATCGAATGCTGATATAAATTCGCATTTATGCCAGATCGAAGAATATACAGCAATAAGCAACAATTCTCGGAGTCCTTTTTTTTCACATCCCCTGAAATAGTTTATAAGTGTGGAAATCGCTCATCTATGTAATATAGAATATCCAATGTGAACTATAGAATAATATCAAAAACAAGCCGAATAATAAAATAGTGGATTTTCTTTAAGCAATATACTGGAGAGCAATTCCCACAGATGCTGGATTTAGATTTATATCGATCTTATTTTCTTTTCTTGTTGTCGTACAGAGATAAAACAGAAACAACGTGATCAAATGTAATAAGACTTGAAGGACGGTCTTATTACTATCGTTTTCTATCGAATAGCATCTATTCAAATATTTTTTATAGCACAGTAACTAGTGCTCGGCATTATAATTCTCATAAACATAATGAATCAACATGTTAATTCCGACCAGTCTCAAATGTAAATTAAACATATGTTATGTAATTTCCCATGTCTTCCAAAAATTAAATTCTCTGGAATTTTTGAAATTACTTCAGTAGTAAAAAGATTTCACTCAACTAAATGACCAAACATATCAAAGCTTTCTTTTTAACAAAATGGTGATGTTCAAAGTCTCTTTCAGAAGCAAAATTTTTTCGTGGTTTATAAAATGGCCAATCAGTGTCAATTATCAAAATATATATTAACAGGTCGATGAAGCTCTGCATATACAGAGGGACTGTCATTGAGTAACGTTAAGCACAACCTTATTCAGTTATCATTTCACCAACACCATCAACATCCGCGATATGTGATTACTTATCGAAGAATTACCATCGAAGAATTACTGTGTACATTGGGCATATCCTTGTTCAAAGATCATTTGACCAACATTATTACCATTCGCGAAAATCTTCACCATTGCAAAGGGTACCACAGTACAACCTGGATTCCCAAATAGCTCCCATTCACTGACCGGTTCCACTTCTATATGTTCTGCAGCAGTTAATACCTTGCACACCGCTACTTGACTCTCACGACTCCATACTTCACCACCATTTTTTGGTTTAATTCCTGCTATCTAAATAAATTCAAGGGCGAAGGTTATATCACTATACATATTGAGCCAAATCATGCAAAATAATTATGAGTGCTTAATTTTATGAGCAAACACTTGACTATCTTAATAAAAAATCAGAAAACATCACTAACTTTACATTTTGCCATCAAAATTTTCCGCAATCCATTTGGAATTTTGAGATGACGTATATTTGATTTCCGGACAATACCGAATATACCAATGTCAACAGAATAGACACGGAAACAGTCAGCATCAACAACACTTGGACCAAGCAATTGTACACGTTCCCAATTCGAATCTGGACGCAATTTCGCAGCATAGAAACGCCCTGGTATTAATTCGTTGAAGGGTGGTGGTGATGGCTGCGCCAATGAGTCTCGCTTTACTGCACTGGATATGTAGTCCGGGATTGGATCCTGAAATAGAACATTATTTAATTTTCTCCCGTGAGAATTTGAAAAGCCTCACGTTGGGATTACAGTTTACAGAAAAATCAACATGATTTTGAAAATATAAGAAGAAAGAAAATGACTACACCACCGTAACCAGAAACGTACAAATGAGCATTGTCGTATGCTGATGTTATCGGCATCGAATACAGCCAAAACATGAGCAGCAAAGCGTTTCTTTGGCATGTCACTTAACTCCATGGCAACTAATTCAGCTCCTCCAGCGGTCACTGAATATTGCGGCGATGTCGGTATTACTTTTATTACATTTCTGTAATTCTGATCATAAAATTTCGTCTAAAAAGAGCAATTGTATTTGATACAGATTATCTTACATATCATCACAAATCTATTACTTTATCATAAAAAAAGTGATAAAGTACTTATTCTAACAAAGTATATTGCAGAAGGCATATATCTTTGAAATTCTTCATGCATACTTACAAATAAATGAATTTTCCGAATCTTATTTCGACAAATTATCCATTTAAAAATTTCTTTCAGTGCGCTCATATTTTGAGATTCGTGAAAAACGAAAATCTGGCATACGCTACCCAACTACCATTTCGAAAAATTAGAAACTGATGATAAATCATATGAAAATAAGCATGAAGATAAAAGTGGGCGATAATTTTTGCTAATGTGCAATCAAAATATTATAAAATTTACGCTCCATCAGAATAACTTTTGAAATTTTCCTGAATTCACTGAAGAAACTTACTGTTCGTGTTCCTTCCGATCTTTAATCCACACAATCGAGCTTTGAACACTATATTTTACTAAGCCATTTTCGATATACGCGGATATGAATCGTAGCTAAAAAACTGAATGTATGGGAGGTTCTAACACAACATATTGTGCACTATTTTCTCATACATCATTTTTATTTGTTGATATTCTTGAAATCAGGAAGGCACCATGTTAGCATCAAGCACATTTATTATTAATTAGAAAATTACACTCAAAGTGGATTTTCCAATCTAATTTATTATTCGAGCTTAAAATTTGAAGTGATTGAAATTGCAAGACAGGAAGAAAATGAAATTTCCGGCAACTTAAATATCAACAGACTAGAAAATTTACTACTCCAGGCTTTAGCATATACGATATATTAGATTATTCCCCTCAATTATTTGATGAGTTGTGAATTAATAGTTTAATATATAGTACAATTACACTTTTATAAACTTCTATCTCCCAGTTATTTAGGAAATACAATTAATAAAGGTTAAACATGTAATATTAATAATTAGCTATATTTATTGTTTTACAATGCTACAAATTTTCTCCTTAAATTTCAAAACCACAATTTAGCTTTCAAAATAAACTATACCGGTAGCGGAAGTTGAGTATGGCAAGCAGTTCGCAAAATACATAGCGATGGAGCATTATCATAGTTTTTGCCCAATGTAACAATAAATGCATAAATGGGATATATTCTTGGAAGCGCATATTCCGCACGAAGACGTCGAATCGTAGCACCATTCACATATACGATTCGACCGTTATCCAACAATGTGAAATATTCAGGAACCTATATAAAGAGAAAAGAAACAACATTATTACGAAATAAATGTTCATATTTAATAATAATAATGAATTTTAGGTAAAAAAGTCCTGAAGCAAAGTTTTCCATCCTAAAATTTATTATTACAACAATACAGAAAGTAATAAAAACAGTTTCAAGCAAGTTGATTTCTTAGCAGTTATAAACTTGTAACGAGGTTGAAAAATTCTTTTTCACTCACTTTCAATAGTGCTCGATACCAATGTCCATCCGATTCACGAACTGCATAAACGCCACCCAGTTCCGGTTCTGTCACTGGTTCACCGGAAGATTGCTCTTCGTAGTGTGAATCCATTGCTGATCGTAGCAGTTCGAAATTATTTCTTGTACCGGCCAACTGTACATAAATATCGGCCGATTCATCATCACATTTTACCACAATAACGCTTATTGTTGACGGACAAATGATCGGTTCGAACGATAATATCGACTTCATCTGAAATAACTCAAAAAAAAACTTCAACCATACATTATTATTATTGTCAATAATCCACCCTTGTTATCATTATTATTATATTGTAATATCATCATTAATACTACTGATGAAAGTGCAAAAGACTCTAAAGAGTATATTTTGAAGTTAATGTCGTCGTTACATTATTTAACTACTCAAACTCTACTTGACTAAAACACAAGCAACCAATAAGTAATAAACAATTTTCTCATTTCTCTGAACCTTTCAAGATAAACATCTCAGCATTTCTGATGCTATCTAACATTTCTCAGTTCTACTTTATTATCAGACAAGAACGTATACGATGAGATCTTAAAAAAGCGATTAAATAGCTTTTGGATTTGGATATAAGACACAAAGTCAAATTTTTTTAAAGGAAGTATTAATGAAGTTTTTTGTTACCTGTTGAGCCAATTCTCGATCAGTAAGCCTAATTCGGGCTGTTTCCTTTAACTTAGGCGATACAAGCCTCTTCGTTATGTCTAAAAGAAAACAGATATTATATCAGCGGGAATTTCCTGCATGATGGAAAAATAGAAATCTTATTTTCACCCTGAAAAGATTTCTATCATTAAAAAAATTTCACAAATACGAAAATTTAAATTTTATGCCATACATATACAGGAGATGTTATTATAGAAAAAAAGAACGTAACAAAGAGATAAGGAATCATACTGTCTGCGTATTTAAACTATTACGAATTACAGATCAGAATATTCAGTAAAACCCATCTCTGATTATGAATATTTTGTATGACAGGCTGACAATACCATCCAATTATTCTACTTAACCAAATCAATTATAGTTATTAAGAAGAACATTATAGAATAAATATTTCGAGTGGAAAGGAATTGTTTCTTTCTTGCAAGCTGCATTTGATCATACAATGCAAAAAGAAACATATAAATGATTAATGATACAAAAATATAAAAAATTTATTAGAAGATGAAATGATGAAAGATGGAACTCAAAAATAAATGATTTGATTTAAATTAAAAAGAAAGTAAAAATACACAAATGTTTGTTTTTTCTTCGAATTTTAATAACCAATTTGTTGTTGAGGAAAAGAATCAAACTTGAAAAAAATTCTATTCCTGTCGCTTGCCTTTCCTTTTGCCCAGGAAAAAAGGAAAGACTGGAGAAATATATGTTGTGGAATAGAGCATACATATGCTTCAAACAAAAGTAAATAAAATTACTGAAATCTTACTGCAATCGATTCTATAATTTGATCTTTCATGACAAATACCAATACAAGGAAAAGAAACTGAATCACTTTACGCTCTACCAAATTTCTTCTTACCAAATTTATTTATATTCTAAACAGGAAATTCTAGAAAATTTCAACAATTAAAGGTAGATTTAAAAAAAAGAAATATTTCTTATGGACTTTTTCTAGAATAATTTTTTTGCAGTACAGCATTATAACAATAGAAGTGAAAGCAATATAAGATTATTATAAGAAGAAACAAACAATGTAAAATACATTATTCCAAATTTAATTTAAAGCAAATTTTTTTTCAAAAAACGAAAACTAAAAACTTACTCAAAGAATTACATGGCAGTTCAACAATAAGTGGTGGTGCATCGCGTTGTCGTGTATAAACCATAGCAATTGGACCACGACTAACAACTTCAAATTCTTCCGCCACTCGTATATGATCAAGCCAATTATCCGGAAGCAACGGCCCTAAACCACGTGTTTCATAGCTGAAAGGATTTTAATCTTAAACAATGAATGGAATAAATGTTATTAAAAATAAAAGCCAACACCTAGTTTATCGTCCTAGTAATTGAAAAAAAAGTAGTTAGTTAATTCAGGGAAAGAAAAAAGAGCTTTTAATTTTTAAATCGAAAAACATTCCTCAAATAAACAGCAAATCAAAATTCAACAACCTTTCTTTATATATTTTCGCCAGATGCTCTGCCATAACACCTGATGAAAAATTGGTTTTAATTAATTCGTACAAAAGTTCGCGAACTTCTTCCATCTCATCGCTTATATCCAAATCTGTATTGTCTGCTGAAAATATTATTTTGAAAAAAAAATAATTAAAATTAATCATACAAACAATTTCGTGATAATGAGAATGAACTGTCAATAATTTACTCACCGTAGATATAAAAATCAATAGTGTTAAAAAACTGGAACTGTTAATCTCCTTTACGAGGCTGATATTTAACTGGGCTTATTTGAATGAAAGTAAGAAGAAGAAAATATACTTATATTTGTTATTGCTGGAAGCTTCTATTGTTTTCGCAAGAATTGCTGCATCTCTTCAAGATTATTTTTTGATATATTATTAAAAGTTGCAAAAAAGATATATTCATCAAAATTAAAATGAATTTCAGGTCAAGGTTGAAAATTTAAAACATGATGAAGACATATTAAGCGAGATGGAAAAGAACAATCCAATAAATGACCTGATTTTGCTACGTATGTTAGCGTAAAAGGAATGAAGTGGAATTAAGTCTTTCTTCCCGCATGCGAAACAGATAAGTCCGAACCTTTTAAAGCATAAATGTTGGAAAGAACTAAAGAAAACTTTCTATTTCGTCAGAAAGTAAAAAAATTAAATTAAATGAGTTGAAAACTGGTCTGATAAAACCATTTCAAACAGAAACTGGCAAATTATATAGACATGAACTACAAAAATGATAATTATATGAAGAACTGACTTCTGTCAAATATTGTTTGTGGCATATTGACAAATCCGCGTGATGTGGTCATTTTTCTTCCTTGAGAATTTAGTAAATTTCGGGCTTCTGAAACTACAATGCATAAAGTTGTGAAAAAAAATTATGTGATAATAGGGCAAAAGTTCCTTAGAAAAGCCTACATCTATTGACTTCGTTTAAGATTTAAATTACACACAGGTATGCAGGAGAATGCTGTAAACGATTGAAAATGATCGAAATATGAGAAATGGAACAGTACTGAATACGCTAGACAAGAATCATACCTTCAGCAAATCCGGGTCAAATCCTGCCTAATGGCAAGCGACTCTAGTAAGGATTTTCGTTGTTCCTTAAAATATTCGAATATTAAATGTTAATAATAACTATTAATAATAATAATAATAAAAATATATTATTGGTCATAATAATAACGATAAAGATAATAATACTAATGATAATAGTGATAACAATAATACTAATATCATTATTAATATTAATAGGAAATTGGCAAAAAAAAGATTTCTGCACCCTTATCAATGACTAAAATACATGCAACATACTACCTCATGAGACTGAAGATAAAACACCTTTCTGAAAGACAAGCATTTCGAACTTTTGGAAGAAAAGTACCGAAAATTGAGTTACTAACACTTAGGTGATCAAATTACAATTTCTTTTCAATGCTAAGAAAATATCATTTAAAAACAGAAGGATTTTTGATTCGTTTTGTTTGCCAATTGTCAAAAATTTATAACGCACCCTCAGGAAGCTCTACTTTTTTCGAATTTCTCGAATAAATGAATGGAAAACCGATGAAACAGTAGATGAAAATTAGAAATTATAAGTGAGTGATAATGTTTCTAGCATGGTCGAATGTAACATTTCTCTTTGCAAAAGAGTTTATATCAATATTAATATTAATATGTTAATATTAATGTACTAATCATTTCATGTAAAATTACATTTTAAACAAGCAAAGAAATTTCTTGCATCTTTACCAAGTCGCTTCTTTTACAATTGTTCTAGAGAGTAACGATGAGAATTACTTATATATATATATTAAATAAAAACTGCAGAAATATTGTTCATGAAGTCTATAAAACACATGCGCATACCAATGTAGGGAATAATACGAGAGATGAATTTAGATGTGCTCTCGATAATAACACCATTTCAATCATACCGTTCCTATATTTTGGAAATCTTTGGAGAAATGATTTATGAAGTAAAGACACATTTCAAACAACTGATCTAAATTTTATTGTCCAAAAATGGAAAGTGCAAAAGTTATAAAATTTAAAAATGTTCAGAAAAAACACCTTTGAACCATAAACGATATATACGAATCATACATAGTACATACACATGTACATTACATACATACATACATACATATACACATAAACACACACAAATGGAAACTTGAAATATCACAAGACCCAGCAAATTAAGGGATAATATATGAATAATTAGCTGGGTAAATTACCTGTCATCACCAATTCAATGGTCATTAATTTAACTGACGGGAAAATTTTAATTTAGAAAAGCAAAGTTTTTCTTCCCCTAAATCTTGAAGACGAAAAGCAACAGCATTACTGTTATCTTCAGATATCCTCTCAGGAGGGCTTTCCGAACACTTACCTTCGTTAATTTTTCTCCCTTATCCTTAAAACAGAGAAAAAACTTTCCTTTTTTAAATTAACGAGTGAGCTTTCTTCTTTTTAACCATTAATTACTATTTCATTAGGTAAATGTTCAGTCATTTTTTCGTTTAATTCTTCAATGTGTTCATTACAATAACACACAATCCTTTTTTTCGACTCAAACTTTCTTGTCTTTTCGTTTTTATGTCTTCGAATTAAAAAAGTGCTATGCTTAATAATTCTCCAATACAGTTGCATTAAACAATTAAACGATCAATTATGAAGGAAATAATAATCGATTAAATAATTGTCAATAAACTAATGGCTACTTCAAAGATCACAAATTCTCAGTCAATTTTAAGCGACGTCTCCTCTCATGCTGTATGTCCGTATATGCATGTATGTTTATAGGCTAACGGTGAGTATGTCTGGTGTCCGCGATACGTGAATAAGGTGTAAGTGGATGAGTAACAGCGAGATGAAATGAAGGGGGTAAAGATATAAACAGAGGTGAGGGCCAACCCCGTAAGTTGAAAATGATTAATGACGAAAAAGAGGAGACGTGAACATCGGCCGGGAAGGGGAGACGGCATGATAAGCGTGAAGCAAAGAATGAAAAGCGATTGCTTATGACCCACCCAAAATTAGAGCGGTCACCGTGAAATACCGCTCACAGAACAGAATAGTACTACCCGGGGTGGATTGGGCAGCTGTGTTAGCCTTTTGTGGGGTAGGAGGTGTCTTCGGTGATGGGCAGGTTAATTGCTGCTGAAATTTCACTTATTTCTTTCTATTCTTTACCTGAACAGAGGGCTTCGAGAAGTACGAGGATTGAAGCCGTTTCTTTTTTATGGTTTATGTTTGAGTTGATTTTAGTCAAGGCATTTCTATGAGGTAAATGATTAGATCAGATCGATTAGATACAAAGTATTCCTTGGGGACGAATTACTTCAGGAAAAGAAGTCAAATGCTTGATAACTAATGTTAATCAAAGCTTTTCTCGGATCCAGTTGAATAACTAATCAAGGATTTCAGTGATATTACCCATATTGAACTTGTAACTTTTCGTTTTTGTGCTTATAATATGTAAAAAGAAAAAATGTGAAAAATAACAGGCCAATTTTTTAGGATTGTGAATGAGGATTAATCGGGAGTCGATGTGGGGAAATGAAGCAATTCAAACGAAATATCAACAAAGATGGTGCAGGGTTTGTGTTACTGATTTAATTTGGATCTGAATGTATACATATTTAGGATAGTTTTACAAGATTGGGATATCCCTTACTATTGTACTAATATATCTGTTAGATTTGACCGGTAGTTATTTTTATGGAAAATTTAAATGAGATTATGGGGCATTTAGCATTTCCTAACATATGATGTCTATTTGACGGTATTATTCTACTAGAAAGTTGGAAATGAGTCAGATTCACTTCTCTTACGTCTGCATCTTCGGAGATACGGAGCGGGATAGAGAGAAAGAGTTTATTCGTTTTTTTCCTTTTTGAGAAATGAAAATTCGTTTTTTTCCTTTTTGAGAAATGAAAACTACTCTTCCTATCTATCTGAGATTTATTTTCTGTAATCCCATGGTTTTTCGCGATATCTTTCTTTTCTCAACATTTGTGCACTTTTCCTGAGAATATAGTAACGTTGACATTATCGTGATGAGCGTAATTAATGTGTCAATCAAATCTGCTTTCTGTCCATAACATCATTTTCTGTTTCTTAGTTTTTTATAGTCATTGAAAAATTTGTGCAGTCATTTTTGAAGAGAGATAACAGTATCATGTGATGAAGCAGAGGACATGTGGCACGTTTATAATTTAGTACGCATTGGTGATACAGTTCGGTGCACGACAATTCGAAAAGTCACAACGGAATCGAGTACTGGCAGCACTTTTAGGTAATATGCAGTTTATTGTTTAGTGGAAATGTTTTAATTCTTTCCATTTATTTAAAAAAAAAAGTTTTAAATGAATTTTTCCAATTTGATATCATGTAATAAATTGATAAAGCTCATAAGCAGTTTTTGGAATTTCTTAATCGTTTTTTGTTCATTTAACTTATAAAAATTCTTATAAAAATTAACCTTATTATTTATTCTCATATTCCATGTACAATGGCATGTATAATAGTCAAGTTTCCGTCAAATTATAAGCATTCAGAAGAAATATATTAGTCGGTATTTTCTTACAGCCAGCGGGTGCATACTGTTTTATCGATTTCCATTGAAACGGTTGATTTTGATCCTGTAGCTTGCATCTTGCATCTGAAAGGTAGAAATGTTGCTGAAAATGAGCATGTCAAGATGGGACAATATCATACACTGGATATTGATGTTGGAAAGAAGTTCATGTTATGGAAACCATATTGGGATTCGATAGACTTGAGTCGTCTAGACTCGGCACTTGATGTAGGCTTTAAATTCATAAACGTTTGCCATATTATCATTAGAAACTCGTAAAAGAGAGCACAAATTATTCTGTTGTTTGAACCATGCTTAACTTATTTTTCAATAGCTTTTCTATCTATCCTAACCATGCAGCTCGGATTTCGTACAATCGTTATGAAATCTTATACAAAATAGTTTCGATCCGTTCTAGCGAAGTCTCTGGAGGAATTATGCATATTTTAAATATCTGTTAAACTTTTTCTAATCATCATCTATGGATTTCTACTTTACTACTTTTTTTAAACTTTTGAATTTAGCCGTCCCGAACTGCTGATGTGGCTGCTATTGTTATGCATGAGGGTTTGGCGAATTTATGTCTAGTGACGGCGCAAATGACTATCGTAAAAGCAAAAATTAACATGCAAGTTAGTGACTTCATCTTGCACTATGAAAAATAATACGGCTAGGAAGATGATAATAGAAAGAACGATCTGTGAACTTAAGTAGACAACTTGAAATAATTTGATTAAGGTGTTATCTGTTTGCAGTATACTTTTAGATTCCGAGGAAGAGAAAGGGTTGCTCAGGTCATCACGACAAGGGTATACAACGTTTTTATGAAGTTATTGCAGCCGCATTTGTTAGACACGTTGACATGAAGGTTAGTCGGTATGCTGGAAATTTTTGAAACATTCATGCTTCCCTAGAGAATTTTCATCTCATATTTCAGGTAGTAAAATGCATATTAATAGCTAGTCGTGGTTTTCTTAATGAGCAATTTCTAAATTATCTAATGGAATTTGCCGACAAGCATGGGAACAAGTTGATTTTGGAAAGTCGTAGCAAATTTTTACTTGTTCATGCAAGCAGTGGCTTTAAGCATGCACTCAAAGAGGTGTTGTCAGATCCCGGCGTAGCAACCGCTCTATCGAATACTAAAGTAAGTGTTGAATAAAAGAAAGTAAACCTAGAAATGATAAGGAGAGTGCCCACCTTCTTTTTCTATTTTTTAAATGTGTATTTTTCCCTGGCAATACACATCATGCCCGGAAATTTGTAGGAATGGGAGTTTGCGGCGTCAGATTCGATTAAATTAACGAGAAGATTGCCACTGTTATATTTTAAATCAAGCACCATTGTTATATTTTGCAAATTAGTGCTTATTACAGGCTCAAGCTGAAGTTAAGGCGCTTAACACGTTTCACGAGCTAATGGCAACTGATCCAGCTCGTGCCTTTTATGGTTATAAGCATGTGTTGATGGCTAATGAACAATTGGCTATTGACACGCTACTGCTATCTGATTCGTTGTTTAGGTCAAATAATGTTCAGTTGAGGACGAAATATGTTGAACTGGTAGAGTCTGTAAAGGAGCAGGCGAGTTTAAATAATTCGTATGATACTGAGACTTTTTAAAATCTGTAACTTAAGTTTGAACTAACTAACTACCCCTCTCAATGGTTATAATAGTGAATACATAATATTCCTCGGTGTTCTGATAAAGAACCAACACTTGTTAAATAAAATATTTCTAATCAAAACATTACCGAAGTCTAAATCTATACATTTAATTAGATTAGTTGGAAGTATTCGATCAGTTTCTTTACACTGCCCAATCTTGCAGGGTTCTAACGTGTTGATATTCTCGTCAATGCATGTATCAGGTGAACAACTTAGCGCCTTAGGAGGCGTGGCAGCTATTTTAAGGTTTCCACTACACGAATTGGAAAATGAAGAGATGTCTGACAATGAACACGATGAAGACAATGACGATCTCAAAAATTAATTTATTTGTTTTATCGGATGAGTTCGATAAAAAAGCTTCTAGTGATAACAATTGCGTGTTAACGATTTCATGTAATGCACAATCGTTCAAGATCATACATATTAACATATCATATAGGATAGTTGCTACATTCTTATTTAGATTTTGTGTCATCATATCAAACAGCTTACAAACTATGCGTCAAGGGTGGGGTCCGCTTTCAGATCAGCAAAACGAGTGAGTTCCATACGCATCACAATTTCAGGAAATACTCGACGCGCTTCCCAGATCTTAAATCGATTTCTAGTATTCTATGGTATTCAGGGTATGGAAAAAATCCTCCTCAAAAATGGACAAAAAGGTACATAAAAACATATACAAATATAAAAATCCCTTCATTATGCTTAAACACAGCGAAGTGAAATAAATATCGGAAATTTTGTCCAGTCTGATGAAATAAAAATATCACAATAAATAACCATCACATAAACTGCTCCAAAAATATCTTAGAATCTGAAAAAAAGTATGGGAGAAAAGTGACTGATTTCATGAACAAGAGAATGTAATCTTCGATATCGAAAATTACCGTTGGTCTTAGCAAGACATTTTTGAAAATACCTACTTGATACACACAGTCTGGAAAGAAATGTAAGAAAATCTAGCAAACTTACAGTAATAATGAAGGCATTGGCTGAATTTATATATAGTCGTCGTCGATACCCCATTTGTGGGGGACACAAAACATTGGATCATTACCACTAATAAAAGGTGAAGAAGTATCACTGTTTTCTCCCTTTATGTCGTCAAGAAAAGTGAGCGGGCAGGGAGATGAAATGAAATCTCTCGATGTGTTCAGAGATGCACCGAATGATGGGTAGTCGGGCGATTGTTTACATTTAAATTCATAGTCATCCAAATCAAAATCAATAGAAGATGATTCCATATATTTCATTGCATTATCATCACCAATATCTACACAGCTAGAGGATTCGGGGTCCGATTTTAAATATTCAGGTGCTATAATGATGTTTGGTGTTGTGCAATCCATTCGACGCGTGTTGCCGCTTTTCGGGTAGTTCGATTCAGCGGTGTCTGACGTCGTAACAGTATCATCAGTTTCACTAAGTATTTTCGAACAAAATCGCTCGAAGCAGAGTGCCGTCCCATTAGCACCTTGCAACGTCGAATCCGTTCCGTCAGCTGCGCAGATTTCCCCAATGATTTGCTGCATTTCATCGCTAGACAGAAAAGCATTAAAATCCGCAATGAACGCATCATCGCCTGTTCCCTCTGCTGGGGACCGCGAATGGATTCGGCAGATCCAAGGGACGATGATGGCATACTACTACTACTGCTACTACTCACTTCCGTCTCTGAGCACGATCCCTCACGTTCCTGGTTATTGTTCAACAAATCCTGCAACTCGACGTTATGACTCTTTAGTTCTTCACATGTTCTCTTTAAGCATTTATTTTCTTCTCGCAATTTTCCGTTCTCTAGGATAAGCATTCGAACGGCTTCTTCAAGTTTGCTCGCACGGTACTTCTTGCGATCACGTGCCGTCTGCGCAGCCACACGATTCTTTAATTTACGCCGATTCTGTTTTTCTTCTGCTGTCAAATGATTCAAACGTTCACGTTTTCGAACTGGGTGTTCGCCTGGAGCTCCCAGACCCAGCAACTCCTCAATGGGTTGCTGCAGTACAGTAGCTTTCTCCGACCGCTGTACATTTTGCACTGGAATAACTGCACGAAGTGACTGTCGCTCTACCATGGTGAGCGGTCGTGCCGTACAATAGCGTGGTAGAATTGGTGCTGCCACATTTCGTGTCTTAAGAAGTGACGATGAATAACTTGGCGTAGTCACGGTTTGCGGATGTAAAATATAAACAGACATCCTCACAACTTATTCCAGCTAGGAAATGACGTTTTATATGACGGACAGAAGAGAACTTCCAGGAAGTATCCAAACCGCTTCATAGGAGCCACCCATGCCGCACAGCTCTGCCACGTCACACAACTTCATTGGCTATCGCTGCACCCGCCATTGCGACCGACCGTGCTACATACACACACACGAAGACGCAGACAGCAGACACAAACACACCTCTCCCTATTGATTTCATGAATCGATAAATCCGGTCAATGAGCAGTGAGTGCGGAGAGAGTGGATGACTATCGTATTTGGTGGGATGGCGCTGCACATGAAGCAAGCGACAAGGGATAGGGCAAGGGTGGTCCTCTGTAGTGCAGACGTGCATGCATGCTACACGCACAATGTATGCTCACTTTTTGTCGCCATATTTGCCAATTAAGGGAGTTGAGAATGATCATTTATATTTCCAATTGAGAACGTGACTTTTTGGAAAGATGGAGTAGTTATTATAGTTTTAACTTTTTCCTCGCAAGTAGCCTCCACTTAAAAAAGTATTGTCAAATTTAACACGAAAAATGATATAATGGACTTCAATAAACATCCCAATATTGAAGACAAAGGCCTAAATCGAGATTTGAGGAGATCACAAAGGTCAACGATCAAATATTTCTATAAGAGTGATAATAATACAAAATCACAGTAGAAGAAAATATGATACTGAATTAGAATTAAATAAAACAAACTTCAATCTATAATACATTGATAACACCATATGACGAAATAGTTAAAGCATGATCGAAATATGAGAAGATTGCTTCTCGTGATATGTTACTAATAAGAGAAAAGTCAACATTTTTTGTCTTATAAATAATGTCTTATTGATTGCAGAAATAACATGTAGTACAATGTAAAAATTTATAATTTACTATCCACAAATATACACGCATAGGACATACATTCATCTGCAATTTATAAATACCATTCAGAGATGCGTGTAAAAAAATAGAAAAAAGATTTCCGTGAATTAAAAAGCTTAGAAAGCAATGCCTGATAATTTTACTGCCAAAAATATCACAATAATCGTTATGTAAATGATACACAAAACACTCATTTAAAACTCAGAAGGCTGCAGTGCATGTGCATATGACAACACGTATTACCAGTTTCGCAATAATCCCACCTCTGAATCTTGAGATTTCATTTCAAATCCAAAATCAAAAACAAGAAATGAATGTTGTTACTTATAACAAGAACAACTACAACCATGTTCTTTCTTTGGTTTCAGGAAAAACCAATGCGCTTCAATAACCACAATAAAGCTTCCATAGAAACCAATCATTTACGATCCATTCCGATCAACAGGCCAATAGAAAATGGAAAGTCAAAACAATGGCTATCCACTTATTATCGATGTAGAGTCATATTTCCTTATTTAAAAACTCATCTATAACAACATGTATATATATATATATATATAATTAAAACCATGAGGAGAATAATCCTTTGTTTGAATGCGTTGGAGACAGATGTTTTGAAGCAAGGAACCGTGCCATACTTTCCTTTTCAAGTGCATCGTATACAAAATCTCGTTTCTGAAGTGTATGCAGCAAAGTTAATCTTATGGAACGTTTCGATTTAGTATCACAATAAACAAGAAATAATTGAGTTCAATAAACTTTGTTCATTAAAACATTCATAGAGAGAGGTTCATTTCAATCTACTATTTTAAAATAATAATGTTGGTTGACACCTTCAGAAGAGAATTGATTTCTTCGGTTTCGTTCTTAAGTCTCTCGACCACTTCTTTATACTTCTTAACCGCTTCAGTATATTCTATTTGGAATTTGGACATTTCACTCTTTTTTTTAATCAACGCTTCTTCCGTAGTCGTCAAATCACGTACCTACAAAAATCTTTGCTAACTGAAGCAAAGATGTTAAACAATCAATAACAATAACAAGACGAAAAAAAACAAAGTGTAATTCAAACTTACACATTCAGTTGATATGGGTGAATCATTAAGTGGTATAAATTTCAACTGATAACGGACATCTTTAATCCAATTATCGCCATATACACACAAGAAATGATCACGTTGCTCGAGTGTATGAGCTCCTACGATCTCCAAAGTATCAAGTAAATGAAATGTCAACGGTGTTTCTTTATCTTCCATGTAAAATTTCATCGGAATAAATTCACTTAAATTGGCTCGATTGAATGGTACAAAGAAGATTTCAGCCACTGTAGAACTTTTTCGCTTGTTGCTTTCCTGAAACCATGCAAGAATAGTATTTTTGCTAAATTACTGGTTTGTGTCTTTTTGACTTTTTTCATCAGATAAGTCATTTTGAGATAATGAATGGAATCCGAACAAAAAAATAAGGATGTCAATAGATTGACTGCATCACGAAAATGGCGAAATGTGACAGAGTGCTACCTGAATTATCCGAACACCACCTTCTTTGTCGAAAAGCACTAATTTGAATTTGCTCATTTGCATAGACCGACAGATAATCATTAATCCATTTTTTCCCCATTGTGATTGCATTGTTATCTTGAAAAAATCAGCCTCCTGAAAACTAACTGTAATTTGAATTTTACATCGTTAACAATCACAGAGAATAGCAAATCATAATGATAGCATAAATATCCTTCAAAAAAAGTCCACTATTTACATCAACTGAAGATTTATTAGTTAAATGTATATCCATTTGTCTGTGACACTGACATGAACATCAGCATTCCCTAGGATGCAAAATTAATAATAAAGGAAATATTGTGGAAAAAGCCAAATTCACTCACTTGTTTGCCAACTGAGCCATCATATGGTACACCTTCCTTTAAAACAGTATATTTTGCATCGGTTGGCGTCCCCTCACACAAGCTGCGAGCCTGAGACAGGACTTTTGGTCCAATTTGAGTGGGTATTGGTACCCCTAATTTTGAAAATAATGCGCCAAAAACTCGCCCTGCATTGTGAAAAGATGAACAGATTTAACACGAAAATGAACGTTTTTTGAATCAATTCTAAAGATAGCATGGAAAGAACAAATACTGAAAATAGTGAAGTCCATCAGAGCAATCGTAGGTGGTTTCTAGAAAAATCCGTATAAAAAAATCTTTAAAAATTTATTTTCCAAAAGTCACCGATCTGATTCATCAATGTAGCCAGTTCTACCCCAACAAATCTGCTATCTCATCAAATAATCATACCGCAGCTGAATTAATCCCCAGAAAATATATAACGCTGTGTGGGTTTATATCAAATTAACACGATAAGCCGATAACAAGCCAAAAAAAGTGTTTCAATTTTCAGATAATATGTCAGAAACGATAGATAAACGAAAGAAGCTAAAAGGATTTTCAAAATCTAGTAAGTATTGCTATAAACCATACCAATGCCACCCATCTCACTGATATCTATCCCTTCAAAATCAACAAGAGCACCGGAATGACCACTCAAATCATATTGTCGCCTTTTGTTTGGATCCGACAATACTGCATACGCTATGGAGATTTTTTTAAATTGTTCGGCAGCTGCAAAACTTTTGCTAAATATTGCTTAAAATCTTATGATTAAAAGTTGCCATTAAATTAGTTCTAAGTAGCAACCTGTCACATACACATTATGAGAACTATTAATTAACTCGCGTAAGTGGATGTTTTACTCCATCTTACTTCACTTCACATCAAACATTAAAATTATAGGGAAATGAATCTATCAAATATTGACAATATATTATTTCCGTCATACCCTGAATCTTCTAAAATTTTCTAAAATTACTTTATATGAGAAGCATCACATGTCGACGAAAAAAAAATATAACCTTTCTGGTCACCGGGATTACGGTCTGGGTGAAATTTGAGCGCCAACTTCCGGTAGCTATTCTTGATTTGTTGTTCCGTGGCATTTTTCTCTACTCCAAGAATTTCGTAGTAATCGATCATAGTATCTTTTCCACTCATTTTTTTTATTTCGCTGCCCTATAATACTATAAACAGGTACACATCCTTTTTTAATTGTACGAAAAACGTTGACTATATGGCAACAAGTTTATTTAATCCAAAAATGAAACATTTGATGGAAATTCTGAAAGTAACGAGGACAAAAAAAGAAACCTGACAAAATTATGTTTTAATACAAAAATCATAATTTGTTATTAGATGATACTTCGTAAAAATCTAAAAAAATACGGAGTTCACTCCATCAATTTTCACACCAAATAATACCAAGTTTTTTCTCTTCCCCTCTCTCTCTCTCTCTCTCCCATTCTCTCCTTCTCACCCAGTCCCTCATTCTCCTTTTAATCACTCATTCATCGTATATTCTCTCAATATATTGCAATGCAATTCAAGTAGTAGCGTTGTCTGTAACGTTTGTTACTGATCATATCTTCCGAATCAATTCCTTATCAGTCTATGACCATGCTCGATCCCTTATCAGTACCGCCTGACCACCTCACTCCTTGAAATGAAGAAAGCCCAACCGAAAGCTGCACAACTGTTACCACGGAGAAACCGGAAAATTGTCTCCACAAGCACTTCTGGTAAAAGGTGTCGCGGTTTTCGAGAAAGTTTGAGGCTACTGGGATTATCCGTGGTGCGGGAGGTGAAGTGGGTCGGTGAGCCTTTTTCCCTTATCAGCACTGGAACGGAGTGTTAGCACGAATAGATTGTTCCTGAGGGATTTATGGTTGAAGAAAGTTGGGAAACACGAACTGTGGTTTTCCAGACTATTCCTTCTACTGATAAGTGGAGTTGATTTTTGAATGAATGCAGTTTTTCAAATAACTTATGCGCGAATGTTTCTGGATAAGTATGCTTCTCCTGGACCGATCCATCGTCGAGTCAGTAAGGAAGATAGAGATAATGAATGCTATTAATGCAGGAAGTAAAAAATACACATGAGACCGTGTAGACTAAGTTACAACATACCACTCGTAAAAGTTTAATTCAGGGTAATATTTTGAAAAGGAATAAATCATCCCTTTTGTAAATTTTCAGCTTGAAGTTTTCATAAGCCCTTCACGGCTGGCTTTTTAACCAACAAATTGAAGGTTGAGCCAAACCATACAAGAAAAGACATGTGATTAAAAGTGATAATTTCCGTTATTTATTCTTGTTTTTTATTGTTTCAGCTTTGGCAATCCATTTTCCAGATTTGGATATTAAAATTTTCATTCATACCAATATGCATATATTATACTTTTGAAATTGGACAGTCTTCAGAGTATATTAGTTTTGTGTCGTGATTAAAACACTGTAATAACTTGAGAGGATCTATGGAGCGTTCGTATGTAGATGTCTTATATACATGAATATAGAGAAGAAAATATGAACTATTACATAACTTCTCAGATGTCACGACGTTTCCGCCAACTTGAAAGTATACATGAATTGTTGCCAAAGAGGCGTAGATCAGTCTCGACAACATCAGAAAGTTCAAATCATTTTAAAGAAGAGCTGTTCGCAGTTTCATCAAAAAATGAGGACATTTCGGAACAGGTTCATATCTCTTTCCCTCTCTTTTAAAGCATGTTAATTTTTCGAACTTGTTGTTAAAGCACATTAACGTCTTGTAATTACAGGTCAAATCAAAATGGAGGAATCGTGAACGTGTTCTGATTTTTTGTTCTCGTGGTGCATCTTATCGTATGCGTCATCTAATGAAAGATTTCTTAAATTTAATGCCTCATAGCAAATCGGATAATAAATTAGATAAGAAGAAAAGTTTGGTATTGATTAATGAGATTGCTGAAATAGCAAACTGTACCAAGTGTCTGTATTTCGAGAACAGAAAGCATACGGTAAATCTTTTGACTAAAGAACTGTCAATTTCGGATCATTGTGTTTCGTATGGAATATCTTGTAAGGATCAAAGTAGGTGGGCCTACATTCAGAACGTGCAATGTTATTATAAATCGTTAAATACAGAAATCCAAATTAATTTTGCTAGGATTAAAAATACTAATTGACTTCAGTCTGCTAAGTTGGTATGATTATTTGAGAGTGATTGAAAGGAAACAATGATTGCTTTATCTTTGTAAATCGCCATGGATGATTTTTTTTAGGACTTGTATTTATGGATATCAAATATAACACACGGTCCATCTGTAAAATTCCTGGTACATAACGTGCACACAATGGATGAAGTGCGGATGTCTGGTAACTGTTTGAAGGGATCGCGACCAGTGCTCTCATTCGACTCTACTTTTGATAGTCGGACACATTTCTCACTTATCAAGCAACTTCTCATGCAGGTTACTTTTTTCGAATTTCCGATTTTACTCCAAACATTAGTAAATCAATATTTGCCATTTTATTTTGCTGTGATATATATCAGTGATACGTTTACTACTGTCAGTTGTTGCTTGCAGACATTCAGTACGCCATATCGCCATCCTAGGAGTAAACCGTTTATTGATCATGTTTTCATGTTTTCAATAACTGCGGATGCTAAAATATGGTTCCGAAACTTTCAAATTGTTGATGAAACGCTTGAACTTCAGGAGATCGGTTTGTTGCTAAATTAAAAGTGTTTTAGCGCTAATATTTCTTTAGTACTTTTCCATGTGAAAAAAATCAGAAACTGGATTAAACACCGATATTGATATAAATTACTTTTATATGTTAGTAAATTCTGATTTGTTGGGAAATATTAATGATTATTTCAGGACCACGCATGGTACTGGAAATTATCCGTATCTTCGATGGATCATTTGAAGGCTCAGTTTTATATAACAATCCTAATTACGTTAGCCCGAATGCGGTTCGAAGTGAAATTAAGAAAAAACAATCCCATAAATATGTCACGAAGAAACTGATTGAAAAGGTAGTATACTTTAAACGATTCGGCAATTATTTTTGGAACATATTTCAAAAATTTTTTAGAAATATTTAAGAGATAATTTCATATAAACGTCTTTATCATATTTTTTTTATTTTAGCAGCGTGGAATAAAATTAGCAGAACGAGCAACTGTCAAAATACCCGATCCTGTAGGTGAAATTTTTGATACTGAAAGAATGCTTATGGACCCTCGGGCAAAACAAATCAAGCGAATTATAGAAAAAAAAAGGAAGAAAAAGATGAAAAGCAAAACAAAATAAGTCAAACTGCGAGTTAGACCTAGGTAGTATGTTGGGTTATTGTTGAGGTTATTTAAACTGCACTTGCTGTTTCGTTATGTAGACTTTCTCATCTTTACTGTTATTGTTTGCTGATTGTCACTCCTTCAAAGAATAATTAAATATCTATTCCATTCCTACAGTTTTCATAGAACAAAGGCAAAATCATTATTTATGAAAACGGAAGAACATGAAAAATGATGTTACCGTATCCAAGTTCTGGATACCAAACGGTTAATTTACATAATTCAACGAAGCAGCAGCGAACAAATTGGTCCAGACAATTTTCTGAATCAGTAATTCTCTGTAATTCCTATTTGTAGAATGTATAACATTATGGAAGCGATTTATGAATTCGACACGCAAGCGGCGATGATTCATAGAGAGAAGCCAATCGGTCAAAGTTTTATGCTGCGGCGATGTTACCATTTTATAAAAACATCTTGCTAATGCACTTTATCCAGTTGAAAACATAGAAAATTTGCAACACATAGAATTGCAAGCTCATATAAAAATAAAGCAGTGAAAGATACAGGAGACCAAGTTGAATATTTATCAATATAACGAACTTATGTGCAGATTGAGGAGTGTCACATCCTTTATTATGAAACTAACGAATCAATATATTTCAGTGCGTTCATCACTGGTAAACAATTTCGATGGAAGAAACTTAGTGTGATCTTATGCAGATTTGCAGTTTGAGAACATCTTAATCAGTGCCGAATTTAGAGTAACTGATGTTGAATAAGAACTAAAATATGATGAACGTGCATTACGAAAAAAAATGATTTGAGAGCATATAACAAGGAATGTTCCCGTTATTCAAGTCAGATAGAAAGGTTCGAGTCTAGTCCTTCTTGACCGTGCTGCTAGTAGTTCCCTTTCTTTTTTCCTGACCACTAACACAATAATTGACTATTTTTCTGGTATCACCTTCTCGATGAGAATGTTTATGCTCATGTTGTTCAATCTGGAAAATATTGTAGAATTTTTATACGATATAAACAGTGTATTGATAATGATGTGTATCATGCCAGAGAGAAAAAAAACGTTCCACTCATTTTTTTAGCTTACTCAATTTTCTTCTATCTCTAACTCTAAACTGCATGTTTACTAGGCTAAGCATTTCAAATTATACTTGGACGCTACGGTGCTTTTGTTTCTTCTGTTTTCAAGCATTATTTGAAAGAAAATTTAATTCATATCCAATTACATACTCAATAGGATTATGTGTGGAAATGATTAATTTACAAAATGGGTCTTCAACTTGACAAAGTATTCACCACTATAGTGTCAATAAAGAAGATAGTTAGATGCATGGAAGTTCTCCCTAATTTTTAACTTTATTCTTACCTTAGTTCTTTTGCCGGTACCTTTTCCGAATTTGTCAATATCCGTTTCGCCTTTTTCAAATTCATCCGCAAGTTTTTCGGCATTCGACATCTTCGTCTACTCTTGCAATTCACTTCTGAAAAACATTACCAGACCAAGAAATGAGAAAAGTTCGTTTGCACGCAAACTAAAATCAAAGAATTTCAATCATGACAAAATGAAATGAAAGCTTTAAATCACGATGGTTTGCATAAATTCATTTTCTAACCAGCAGTAACAGATAACCTTTATCACAGTTAATTTGAATTTTAATTACAATGTTGATGTCGCAGTACTGTGCACAATTAACTGATCTACTTCCACTCTCAAATAACAATTATTTTCGGGGGGATTTAACCTATGCATACATGCAAACAAACAACTAATAATTTATAATTGAGAAATTATAAGGATTTTTTGTAACTAATGGGTAAGAAAAGTAAACAAACAACAATATTCTATAACTTGGGAAATTGCATCTTTTGGCTGTAAGAATCTAAGAGCAATGTGTATACACGTCCTGAAACTAATATAAAATCATCCCTTACTATGCTATGAAAGTTAATAATTAGTTACAATTTCAGCTTATCAAACACTTTTCTCTTTCATCCATTTTGCATTATTACTTACTATTAGAAAAGTCACCGTTAAAGTGAAAAAAAAATTTCGATTCCAAAAAATAGTATCGCAATTCCTGTCTGCATGTCTAAAAAAAATTTCCGTTTCAAGTAAATATTTTCTGACTTTTTCGTTAGTCGGTGGAGTGCGCTTCAAAAAGTCAAAGGTAAGAACAAATTTTATTTGCTAAAAAAAATGCTAAAAATACTAATGAAGAACAGGAGAAGAGTTGGAGACATGAAAGCACGGGATCCGTGAACTTTCATTTTCCTTTCAACGAGATGGATAATTAATGTTTCAGGAGAGGTAGAAATTTATTAAATTTCATTTATAACGCAACCTATATATTTCTTTCTATAAAATACAGATTTCCGGATTTTCTCGAAAATAACGTAAATGATCTCTAGTCGGTGAGTATTCGTGAATTGAGACAGGAAAGCAATCTCTATGAATGAGCATATTAAGACAAGCGCGCCTGGAGTACAGTACTTCACGTACGGCAATTGACGAAGCAAAACATTGTGTAGACCACATCATAACATCGGAGTAAAAGAGTGTGTTGAAAGTATAGAAGTTAGACTACCAGAGCAAATGGGAGAGAAAGGATTAGAATTCGAGATTTGGTGCGAAATGTGTCGTTGTTTTTTTAAATTTCAGGCGTAAATTTTCTGAGCGTTAGTTTTAGCTGTCGAGTTCGTTTTGTTATGTTAAGTTTTGATAGATAATTGAATTTGTGCTTGAAATAAAGTGAATTACCGCAATATCTATTCGTTGTCACATTTCATGTATACATTTCATCATGAGAATCATTTTAAATTTGGAAGACATTAATAATAGGAATTTCTCTAGTAATAAATCAATTTTTATCACTTATGCACCTATCGATTATTTGGTCCATGCAGTTAAATGATTATAAGAAGGATATGTTTGGGAACTTTTAAAAATTAGTCGTATGGATTTTCTCATCTCATTGTTTTCGTACATATTTTTTCGTTACTGACAGTTTTCATTATAATTCTATGACATACTTTGTCGTATATAAATTAAAACGTAGCAATATACAATGTTTATATAGCTTAGATGTTTTGTGTTTGGTAATTTGGTAGTGTGTTTCATTAGCGCTTTTGTTACAGGTATATTTATTTACAGTTTGCAATTTTACACCATCTTATTGGCAGTAGATCGAATATTTGATGTAAATGGAAGTGATGGACGTGAATAGAGCTAAGTGGTAAGTACATTTTGAATTATTTACAAAGCATATTGTGGAAGTATGAATATATGGTTACACTTTGCAAAGTAGAATTTAAAAATGCTTGAAATGAAGTTATGAAGATATGGATAAATAGTTAAATAGAAAGAGCAAGACTTGATGCTTATGTTTCACAGGATACTTCAGAAAATAATTGATTGTTTTGCTTGCAGTATGGGGAATGTACTGATTAAAAGCAGCATTGCTGACATGACAGAAACGTTTCAACGACCCGATAGTTTGGATTCTGCCGATATAATAAACGCCGATGATTGTTATGAAAATGCCACGAATGAAGAGAAAATATCGGTGAGATATCGATCTCTCAATGTTTTTCATAGGGTGTAAAATACTAGTATTATTAGTGGAATGATTTTAAAACTGGCTTAACAGGTTCAATAGTTAAAGCTATTACGTTCAACTCTTTCTTTTATGATGAAGTTGAAGGATAAGCATGTTAGCGCCCAGACATTTGTACTTGAGGTTGACGTAATGACTATTAGTGATACGATTATACAATATGACGTTTATATAGATAACCTAGTGCCTACTATTTAAGATCGGTATTATTCAATAAGTTACAAAAAATTTTTTGAAAAATTGTTATGCTAAACTTGTTTGGAATTTCTGCAATCGAATATTTAAAGGTTCCGGAAAATGGAAATATTGTGAACTCTGTAGGAAAAACGATGAATGTTGGAAAGGATAACAAGGGATCAACGGACAGCATGAAAAACGGTTTGTTTTTATATTATTATCAAATACACTTTGATCGTTAATTGCTAATATGTGAATGACGAAGTCGCAACATCGCGTGAGTAATTTACCCGTTATTAATAACTGCTTCCTAGAATTCTTTATATCTTGCAGATCAGGTTGATGAAAAACTTCGTCGTGCGATAGATATCGTTGTAGGATATAGCCGAGTAAGTGATGAAACAAAGGAACGATTGAAAAGTGCAGTGACAGATGTGCACTGTAAGACGATGTCTGAACAGGTAATATTTTTTTGACTTGTTTTATCCAGTTGTTATTAGTGTATTGGTAGCGATTCATTTTCTTTGCTTCTGTGCTTACAAAATATGCATTACATTATATGCATGAAATAATTTATGGGAAAATCACTACTTTATTGTATGTACACTATAACTTGTTTTATTGATTATTTTCAGGAGGCTTGTCAATGCTATAAACTTGCTGTTTCATACTTTCGAACTTACTACAATATGGTTGAAAAGCTGTTAAATCGAGCTAATTTAGTTAAAGAACACAATCGAAACATTATTTCGGCGACGGAAGAGAGTGGAATTGAAATAAATGTGAAAAATGAACGGATAGAGATGTCTAGCAAAACAAGCAGTGTGTCGCTTTATCTTTATTTCAAATTCATTTTCAGATCTATATTTAAAAATTTTCGTACTTTACGAGGAGTGAAGCAGAATATCTGACGGTTAACATCACAAATCTTTCTGTTGGGAGGTCCATGTGGTCGACTGTTAGCATGTGAAAGTGCTGAATGACCACAAGTTATTAACGAATTTTATAATCAAAATCAATATAATCTTGTAGTTTTGTAACTTTTAAGATTACATAAAAAGTCGAATTAGTGAACTATTTTTTATTTTTTTAGATGATGAGAATAATGCTGCTGGCGGTAATCAAACAAAAGATGAAAAAACTCAAAAAGTCAGAAGAGCACGGAAGAATTTTACACGAGGTATTTCTGCAATTGATAAGGAGCGTATTGATAAATGCATCCATGACTATTGTGGAACTTCCGGTAGACATTCGATGAAAGCGGATGCCATACGTAAAGCTGTAGGCATGTAAGTTTTATTCTTTTTCCAAATTTTGCATTTATAACTCATCTAAAATATAACTGAACAGTTTGCAGTTTTTCATTATTCATCTATTTCTAGGGTGTTATACAAAGGATGTACAGGAGTTGATGCAGCGAGAGCTACCAATTTAACACCGCGAACAGTCATGAAGCACGTTTACACCGTACGGAATGCTTTGAACTTACCTCAACTTCGAAAAACTAAACAGCAAGCAACAAACAGAAGCGAAGGGAATGAAATTAAAGAGGAAAATTTTCTAGAAAAAGGTTTATTTTTGAAATGTTACAGATGTGATCGTAAAGGAGAAAATCTGCTTTTTTTTACATGATGTACTTGCATTTTATATCATGGAATTATTACCAATATACCAACAGCGCAAGTCATGACGGAAATTATCACCATTTTAGTTTTAGGTTTTCTTTTTTAGTAACTGATAACGATCGAGAAATAGCGAAAATGTTAATTAATGAGAAATTTGAATGTGTGGAAACTGAAGATTTTTTGGGAACTGGTTTGGAACTGGAATCAAAGATTGATAAGGTTGGTTTTCCAAATTTTACATTCCTACTCTGTGGGATATAAGTTTTGTTCGAAAATATCAATATCTTTGTTATATTTTTGTCAGGTTAGAAATATTGTCAGTACTAACATTCATTTTACAAGTTGTCCTTTTGTATGTTTATGCATGTCTTGAATGTTGCTAATCATTTCTACTTTATAATTGTTTCATGTATTGGGTCCCATTTATTTTGGAGTGGTTTTTTTGCGCTGTTATTTAATTCACATTACTGCTGTAGATGTTAAAGAATAAGTTTACTATAACATATTAAGGTAGAGTGTGATTTATCGCTTTGATAAACAGTAAATGAAATTATTAACGTTATGCTCTTTTCTGTCAGCTATTCCGTACATTCATTTGTTATGCCAACTCTATTGAAGATATATTAGTAAGTTCACATCTTATATACTCGTTTTTTATCGAATTATTTCACAATTCACTTTTTTTCCAGCTTTTACGAGAATTTAGCTATAATGGTGATGTCAAAAAAATCCGCGAAGCAATTATAAAGATTTTCACGGAGCAGAAGTCGTCAGAAATATATAAAGCTATAACAGAACTACCTGTAACAGTTGTCAGTTCATACGTTCGCTTACTTAAGGGATTTTTGTGCGCAGAAAATATGGTAATATTCACTTACCAAGTTTATATTATATTCAAAATAAGTTGTAATGTTCTGTACTGAATGCTTTTAATTCCTTTGGAAGCAAGAAACCGAAGAGAATTCAGAAAATATTTTTTTTTTATCGCTCAAACAATGAATGATCAGTTAAGGAGATAGTTAGCCTCATTTTCTAATTTAGGAACTTGTAATTATTACATCATATATTTGCGGAACTTTCTGTGCATTATCAGGGACTCATCAGCATGAAGTAGAATGAAATGGCCTACTGACATTTGGTAAAGGACTTGAAACATGGAAGTCGTTCTTATATATTCCGATATTTTAGTAACAGATTTACCAATTGACTTCTTGTACAAACATACCTTTCATTGGAAAGATATTTCGAATATTATTGTTTTCTTTTTAAAGATAAAGACTAAAGACACAACGATTGCCATACCCCGTCGTGGAAAAAGAAAGCTGTCCGATAATGGAGAGCGCAATGTTAAGAGCATTGAGCTTGTAAAGTCATCTGAATTAGATGCAATTTTTTCTGCAAAGGTTAATGCACATATTTCAACTTTTATGTTTTAAAACGATTTTGTTGAATAACTCAGGTCCATACAAATTTCTTGATTGTTATGCTTTATAAATTTCTTGATTGTTATGTTTTATGTTGAATGTAAAATTTCCATTTTGGTTGTTTGTTTTTCCACTTTTTGAATTATATATGACATTTTAGAAAAAGCATAAGTTGGCTAACCTTGTGCCTCGGGGAGTATTCATTGGGAAAATTGATGTGTTAACTCTTCATCTGGAAAATGGTGTTGAAAACGAAGAACAACTTATTAAGAGTGTGATTTCATACCTTATCGATCACCAGTATCGTCGTTCGGAAACAGCACAAACGGTGCGTTTGCAGTTATGTTGTAGTTTTCCCAATATCTCCACATGTACATGATGTATGTGATAATATATGTGATAATAATTATTTCAAAAAGATGATTTTGGATAATCTTTTGTTTTGCAGAATATGCAGATTTGCTTAGAACATATTCTTCTTGATGGGCTCTCTGTTGCGGAAACACTGAAAATTCATGATGGACCGAACGACAGCATATTGGAGGTATAATTAAAACCGTATTTATTAAACTGAGGAATATAATCAGTGGTGTATGGAGCAACGAATATAATATGATCTATACCGATAGCAATACTAGCCGTCATCTTGTTCAAAGTTATCAAATGATTAATGCAAATGTTTTGCTTACCGTCTTTCCGAAAGTAAGACAAAGAAATAGCTTATTATTTTTATTCTCTTACAGGTATATTACAAACGATGCCGTGATGCATATACTGCCCTGACGGTTGACTTTCCCGCATTTGTATTTGAATTAAATTTGTTGAATGGTAAAAAATTTAAAGTTTTTATCGTATACACTTTGATTTTGTTGAGAAAAATATAATTTAGCTGAATCGTCTAAATATGGAAAAAGAAAAAACTCACGGAAATTTTTGTTAATACTAATATTGTCGAAGTTTCATCTCTATCAAATTGAGAAAAAACTAGGCTCTCTTCATAGGAAAAGGATAAATTTGTTCTTAGACTGCAGAAGTATCGAAGTTGCGATTTCAGAAGATCTTGGAATTACAAAAGAAGATGAAGTTTGAAATTTCCACTCTAAAATTATTTAAATGAGTTATGGAACTGTTCTGAATCATTGAAATCTTTTTATCATTTCTGAAGATGAGAAAGTTACATGTTTCAACTTTTTCTTCTCGTGATTACTGGTAATGTAATAATTTCAGAAGACGGAAAGAATAGGCCTCGAAAGAAACGTTTGCGTATGTCAAGTGTTAAAATGGAAGAGATAGTAAGATGAACATTTGTTTTACAATTTTATTTCAGATTTGAACTCAAGATCATTTTTGATTTATCCAACTTCCCATTTAATATTTTTGTATTGTATTATCGCTGATAAAATTAAAGGAAGCATTTCTTTCCACAATAAGGAAATGTAAAATAGAAATTTTTGTGTAGCTGACTTTTAGAGGAGGCAGCAGAGATATTCTTTGGAAAAACAAAATCGTTATAAGCATCTGCATTTTTACTAAAATTCCCATCTCTGAGCTATAATTCTATTTAGAAACCGATTGATGCCATGGTGAGCAATGTTGATACTTTGAAATTCGATACTGTTGAGAAGCTATTTATTTCGATTCCAGAAAAAGCGAAGACACTACTGGATAGTTACATAATGTTAGTTCCTTCTCTATTGTGCATTTCTACGTAAGTCTTGCTTATGTTTTATAATTTACAAAAATTAATTTTCAGGAAGCTCTTGAATATCAATTTTCCACTTGAAAAACGTTTGGTTAGCGGTCTTTTGCAAATGATAGGTGAAAAGATGGCTAAGAAATATGTGTTAGACGACAAGCTCCTGGAAGAATGTGTCACATATTTTTATGAAAAATACAACAAGGTTGCTGCGTAAATTAATATTTCTACTTCGGAATAAGTGTACCTCCTCCTCATTGCCAGGATTCGTTACTCTCTTTTGTCTAAAAAGATATGATTGGTTTTGTCAGGACTGTATAACGCATGGTTTAGCCTTTAATGCTTTCTAAAATTCCGGATTCGTAAGTCGCTTTTGTTGTTATTGATTGAGCTTTTCTGTTTGCCGTTATGTATTATGCAAAGTCAAACGGCTCCAATTACCGGTTTTTTTCACCGTCGTCAGTACTAGCAATTATATGCTACAATGGGAAATGTTGAAATTTCACATATTTAATATTGGTAAGTTACTTGAGAAAAATATGTTCCTTCATAACTTCGTGATCTCATGCTGCTATTCAATTCCGAATCACATCTGTTTCATTAGTTCTCTTATTATGACATTTTGATGTGTTTCGTAATTCTCATTTTTTTCATCAGCAACATTTATATTTGTTTTCCTATGTTTATCAATTATGGGAAAAAAATGCATGTTATTGGTTTATGTGGTTGTTGATGGCAGCATGATATTTTCATGCATTTTAAAAGCTTGTTGTTTTGATTATTATCAATCAAAAATTCAAAACTGCATGGGAAGTTTCCCATGACATTGAAAAGTTCTAACACTTGGATTGATGTGTTGGTACATTGCCGGACGATTTGATGCATAAGCAGACTGTCCGATCTGATTCACTTCAAACTGTTGGCACAGATATGGGAATCACAGAAATGATAGGAAGATTAATTTTGCTCTTGCTGGTCGAAAACATTCAAAAGTAATGGGTAGTTGTATATTTAAAAAAGCCAACAAGTCATTTTCTACATCAGCGATGGTTTTACAAGCAGTTTCTAAAGTGAAAATATTCATTCTAAGTGGAAACACTGGCACTGGTTGGTTTGATCTAACTAAAAAGACGTTAGAATTTTTGCAAATTCATTATGGATATTGTTGTGATCGCCATAATCCTTCCATCTATTCTTTCGGGCTTTGTGTTATCCAAGAGTCAAGTGACGGTTTTGTCAATTTTTTGATGCATTTAGAATCTCCAGTTAAACTTTTATATAAATTTTCTTGGAAATTTGCATTGTGAAGTTTAATAGTATCGGATTTGTTTTTCAGTTCAATCTATTAATAATTCTAAAATGAATTCTAAAGCTAGATCGCGGACGCTTACAAAATCATCCAGCAATGAAGCAAAAGACTCGGGTTCAGCCGCTGTACGTACCTGTTCTATTTTGATTAGACTATGAATGTTGTGTTTCGTTTTTTCTTCCAAATTTAATTTTTGTGTCTTTATTTTGTCATAATTATTCTGATATGAATTCAGTTTTCTGTTTTGATCTTATGCTTCTCAGTTGGGCACTATAGCAGTCCTTGAGCAGGGATATTTTAAAATCATAGTAAATGTGAGTGGAAGTCTCGAATTATGTTTTTAATTTGCTTCTATTCTATACTCCTCATGTCTAATAGCTCTGAAAGGACAATTTAATTTTACGAGTTATAGAAGCAGTTATCTGAAGAGTTGAGTCCGATACCGGATAGTACAGAAGTGGAACAACCTAGTGGAAGTGTTCCAGAGCAAGTGGAATTCCTGATTGGCGAAGACACAGAACGAGTTCTTTCTATAATTATTTTCAACCCTAGTTTCCTTCTTTCAATTTTCTGAACTCTTCAATCTTCTAGTGTGCATTGTCATTTTATAGTAAACTTATAATTTTTAAAATTATCTCAGTTATCCGATGTTACCAATCCAGAAATGTATTCGACGAGGTCATCTACAGCAAAATCTCACAGCAGTATCGGTGGTCGCTTTTTCATTTGGTTCAATGTAAGCTTTTCAGTGAAAGTTATTGTTACAAGCATTGTATCACTTGAGTGATGTAAAATCAGCATGTCAGTCAATTATCTGAATCACTTAGAAATTGGATTATTTTGTATCTCAATAGTAATAATGATGTAAAATGAGACTTAAAGAAAAATAGTTCTTTTGTTTTTGAAATTCATCCTACCATATTTCAGCGTATCTACCCGCTGATGAGGAACAAAAAAGTGCGATACTTGACAGTCGTCAATACCATTTTGCTGCTTATCAATCTCTTAACGCTTTTATTCGTACTTGCATTTCTGTTAGATCAAATCATTCTTGCTTTCCGGGTAACTTATTCTTGTCATCATTTACCCATTTCTTTGAAATATTCCGCCAGTTCATGTAGAAGTGACACTTACCAAGTGACAAAGTGACACTTACTACTAGGGTGGTTCATCCTTCTTTGGCAAGTCAGTTTTACTCTTGAACTTCTTTAGCCTTCAAACTTATGTCAGTCTAACTTATATTTAATAATGACGATGTTGTTTGTATCATTGTGAGGGAAATCAGAGAGATAGTATAAAATATACTGGGTAGACTTACTCAAAAACTAGGAAGTAATTGTCAACTCATCTGTTAAAAAATTTACTCTGAAGAAGGAAGATGGTGTCACGTCGTAGAAGTAATCTTTCATCTTTTCACTCTTTTTCTTTTTTAACAGTAATTAATGAACGTTATGGCGTTTACTTTATTTTCAATACATTTATAATATCCCTTTTTAATATAATTTTTAATGTGAAGAAATTTTATTTCTCTTTTAAAATAAAATTATACAAATTACTGCTACAAACCATCATAATAGGATTATTTTGAAATCAAATCGATGATAGTATCAGTTTAAGAAATGAACAAAAATTACAAATGTATACTGTAGATTTCAAGCATTATCAATGATCAACCGTCACCGTGCATTTTTACATACGAGAAGTGGTCACCGTGTTCTGCAAGTTGCTGGGACGGGTCATCAAAATATCCCCAAATGCAACGTTATGTAAATAAAAGTTCGATAGTGCAAGCACGTGGAGGTGGTAAACCGGATTGTCCTGATGATTTGGACAGTCGAGTAGATCTTGCACCTTGCAATACCTTTAGGTCATCATTACAATTAGTTTTGATACTACTTTCAGATCAGTTTAATAATTATGTATACTAGAACTTTGAAGTTTTGTTCTTCCTTAAACTTTTCAGCTCACAACTGATTATGTTCTCAGAAAAATGTAGTGCTGAAAGATATGTCAGTTAGTAGGGAAAAACGTAATCCAGTTATGACGAAATGTAGATTCGTCAGTTTGATATCATTATCATGAAATATTTGTAGATGTCCTACAAATTTGTCACAGTATCCATTTATCGGTTGTTATTACAAGCAGTCGTTGAAGGAATCGTCAGGCGGCTGTTATCGCATTCGTAATGTACCATTAGATGATCGTTTGATTTTTGTGGATGCTAATTTGACGGAAAATTGTTCGGAAGCAGAATGTAATCGAATTAAATCATTCTTGTTTTAATTTATCAAATAATTGTATTTTGATTAATTGTCTGGATTAAAATTAAAGTTCATATCGACAAATAATGATTAGAATGAACGGGTTAGTTGCTTCACTGAAAAAAATTATCAAATAAATTGAGAACTAATGATGACGTGATGAATCTAAATCTCTATTAATTTAGGTTAACTCAGTTTAATTTCAGGTTTGAAAGATTGATCCAGTTTAATTTAATTGAATTTAAATAATGAGAATTTGAACTAGTACTCAATCTTTGGCGATAATACATTTCTTTGCAACACCACTCTTCATTAACAATCATTTATTAAGATGTTTCGTCAATACGGAAATGATTAAGCATAGAAAAGTAGAAAAGAAATTCATAAATTTAATACTTTTCGGAAATTGGAGAGATGAAATTAATTTAACGGTGCTGTCAAAATTACAATATAATTTATTAAAGAATAAAATTTCAATAACACATCAACCATAGTAGAGATAAAGGAGCATTAGAGCAATGAAAAATCTGTTAAATGCATTTGTTGTCATGAATTGAGGTTGAAGTTCAAAAGAATCGTTCACATAGAAGGAAGGAAAAATGCAAAAAGTAGGGATGCAGGAAGTTCAATGCGTGACTTCAAGCATATACTCTGTTTTGGAATGCTTTCTACATGCATTTGCAATTTGCGCTTTGTATTTCTGATAGCTGTAGCGACGGATGTTTGAAGTTTTCAGGCAATTTTCGAGTAGTTTGTAGAGTATATGCAACGAAAGATAAAGATTATTGAACAGCTGGAACAGAATTCTTTGCATCATTTAGGGATGAATTTATCGTTTGTAGCATACATCATCAAGGTACACATATCGCCTTATGAATGCAGATTGCAATTATGCATGCAATAATACCTAATTTACTATATAAATGCTTGCAAAACCGTAACAACAGTCAGTTCGGTTTCATTTCAGTTTTGTGTTCAATTGGTTCTCATACTGAGAAAACTTCTGGTTTGTGTTCCAGTGTGATGAATAGGAGGTTGTGAGGAATTCCCTCCCTTGAAAATGGATGCAATTTTCAATCAAAAATATACTGATTCTATTTACTGTTGATTTTTTACTTAAATCATATCAAATCGACACGTTGAATCCGTAACCTTTTCAGTTTATAGTGAAATTAGATGGATTCAGCACTCTCAAGTTCACCTTCACAAACAGGAACTATGGCTTCGGACCGACCGAATCAACCAAAAAAAGATTTGCTTCTCAAACGAGAAAAAGTAAATCTCGCCGCACAGGTGACTTTTCACGCTGAGTGAACCACTGGGAGCTTTCATTTTGTTAGATGAAATAGCAACACACGCATTTCTGCGTGAAAAAAAGAATTGCTGATGTCGGTTTAACAGCTGTATTAGCATACGGGGAATTGATGGAGTAGTTTGTAGTACTTGAATGTTTAATAATACAATACTATATGACATTACTGGAGTAAAAAAGTAAGTGGTGAAGTGGTGAAATTCCCGTAATAATGAGTAGCTGTTGATGATGTGCTAATTATTGTTGAAATGATTAGAAATAAATTTTGTTATAATGTTTCAAATAAAACAATATTTGGTATTCTAAAACTAATATAGCAGTTTAGATAAAATTACCGCAAAATGAAAATAGTCCAATACCATCAATTACTGATGTTGAACAACTGAGCGAACAAGCACCCGGGATGTTTAATGTGTCTGCTGGAGAAGCTACGGAAGAGGTATCTGAGAATTCTGATAGTATTCCAAGAAGCCATTCTCAAACGAGTATTACATTCAGAAAAAAGCAGCAAACATCAAACATTTTAAACTCATTACTTACTTTGTTACAGCTCTCAGATATCAGCGAATTTGAAGGGACGATAAGTAAATCAATCAAGTCCACTCGTCTTGCAACTTTAATTTACGTTTGTCTTTCGAACATTTCATTCATAAAAAATAAAACTTAAACTTTTCAAGACATATCCTCAGTGTATCAGTTGTTCCATGATATTTGCAGCAAATCTCACCATTCATACGCAATAAGAAAGTTCGCCTAATGTTAATAATTAATTTCTTCGCAACAATTATTAACATGCTTCTGCTATTCGTACTGATCACGTTTATAATTTGGAACATCGTTCTTAGTGCTCGCGTAAGTACACCATACTTATATTACAAAAGTATTAAATACTTATGTAAGTACCACATATATTTGCTTGTAATTTATCATCAATAACCTTGTTTTTGTTTTTCCTTTACTTTTGTTAAGACACATTTCTTTTAAAGGCATTTTATCATTTTTGCAATTTTATTGCAAAAACTATTCATTTGACATTACTAATTTATATTCCGAAAGAAATCTTTTAATTTGACAACATTTTGAAGATTGTCCACCTCTGCACATCTTTCTTTGTACTGACAACTTTTTAGTTTGTTCCTATTACACAGAACACTGAAGAAGAAATATTTTGACTTGTTACTAGTTCAGTTTAATATTATATGACATTAAATATGAAATAGATATGCTCTTAAACAATAACAATCAATTAACAATCGACAAGTATGTTTGAATTTTGATTAAATTTAATTTAGAGAAATGTTATAGATACGAAGTACTGCAGGAGTAATGAAATTTCCATGTCTTTTTACTTACCTTGAATGGTCTGATTGCTCATCTACATGTCGAGTTGCTGGACAGGATTATCCACGACGCATTCGCAAAGTGAACAAAAGTTCCATCGTACAAGCTCGAAATGGCGGAGAACCGGAGTGTCCTGCAAATTTAGCTGATCAAGTTGATAGTGCACCATGCAATACTTACCTGTTAGTAAAGATGTCGTTAATAGCAGATTAATAATGAATAACTGTTACTATTGCCATTCTTTCTTTGCATACTTACTTACTACGCATGGAAAATGGTAGGTAGTTCCATAGTTTTACTCGAAAATTCTCGAAATAAGCTTTGCAAATCACAGATATAGGCTTTTTTTACCTACAGCTAGGCAATTAATATTGATTGAATTATTCTGCATCCTTTAAAAGAACGTAAAACTAATAAATAACCAGATGAATCTCTAATTAAATTTTCAATTAAAAGGATGAATGTGGAAACAGAAATATTTTCAGATGTCCAACAAATCTGTCGAATTATGGTTTTGGCAAATTTTGTCATTACAATGATGCAAATCTACGACATGATGGTGGATGCTTTAAGATTCGAGATGTACCGTTGGACGATCGACTTATTCTCATCGATGCAAACTTAATTGAAACGTGTGATTGTTCAAATACTATTCATCTTTAATGAGCTATTGAATGTTCACTTTAAAAATATCCCATCTGTCATCGATGTCAATCGTTAGCTTGCCTTGCCTTGTTTAAACTTCTCTAAGTGAGTCATTTTTTCTCATCTGCAATCATTATTGACTTCCTGGACATGCCATTTTAGCTTTCTTATATTAGCGTTTGCGCAGCGATACGTTCTAACAAAGGATATTTTGCGTTATACACATATATCAATGACATGGGTCAATGTTTTTTGAGAGATACATTTCAATTCTAAAAAGTCAAATATTTAAAAGTCACACAATTCCATAATACGGAATAACACTTCAATGTGACATATTTCGATGCTATTCGACATTACAGGTTAATTCACATGTCAAAATTCAACCACCATGCATCATCTTATCATTTACCATAATGAATCAGAAATATCCTCATCTCTGACCGTGCACATCTTTTCCCGTCACTGTTAATCCTATCAGTGTTGAAAGGATTTCAGCTTAATGTTCCTTTTCCGCATCGCCTTTCTGCCACTCCTACGCATATTGCCACACCTTACCGTCCAATCTTGACTTGACTAACGTAACTCCTAATCGATGTGTTATTACGATATTCTCTATGCGTTGTATTAATTGTCTACGTTACGCAAACTTCATAGCACAATTTGGAAAAACAAGAAAAAGATTTCTCGTCTTGGAAAGAATCTCCTTCCGGAGAGATAATAAATGAAAGTCACGTACAGTCTACTATGGTTTGAATTTTTTGTAGCTTCATTTAAATGTTACACGACAATTACCCGATGTAAATATCCTATCTGACTTGAAATGTTATTTCACACGCAATTGTGTCCACAAGCTGTGGAAAACTCGATAAGTCGATGAACTATTTTGAACATCGCACATATCATATAAGCAATGGATAATATGCTCGTCGGATAGCATGTCAAGTTCAGACAGCGCAGAATCACACTGTCAATTACTTTGGGTTTCGCAATCACACGTTATCCTCGATTTGCATATCGGCCCACAAGGCACAAGAGCGATTTTTTAAAATTTTGGCGCCGGTATTTTTGTTTAATTTGACTTGTCACATTTGATGAAGTGGGTTGTTTAGAACGTGGTCTGTTTGTTTATTAATCTCTTCTGTGGGCATTCGGTCATTCAATCGTACTAACATCCGATCTCTCAATTGCTAAAAGAAGAAAGGATTTGACAAAATCGATGGTTGTCGGATTTTTTGAGTCATTGCCGTCTTTCGTCAAGTGAGTAATTTCCATTTATTTACTTCCCCTTCCTCATTTCCTCTGTTCCTAATTAATTTCTTAGTGATGACTGATCTTCAGTTTTCAATTAAGAAATTTTTAACTAGTTTTTAGTTTTAAATTGTCCACGATTTTTAGCTTTAAACCCAACAAATAAACTGTTGAATAACTCCTGTTTTTATTTTTAATTGTACATTAGATACACTCTTTATTAATTGCAAAATGACAATACACGGAACATAAATTAATAGTTATAATAAAAGAGAATATATTGACCAGGCCATTCTCAATAAAAATTTGAGTTTGAAAAACCAAAATGTAAGAAAGATGTAGTTGAGTAATTTCAGGACATTACCAGAAACGAAACAGTTGGATTACGTCTTGAAGTATGTTGCAATTCTAAATTGCTTGCACATTGCGTAGTTGGAATACAGTTACAATTTTTACATAAAATAATGACATCAATATTGTGATGAGATGGCACGTTCTATCTGGGACCACGTTACTAGTTAATTTTCACATTTTTTAAATTTTAGCCAGTTGAAATGGATGGAGAAAAATTTTGAAGATGAGGAAAGTCATCATCGTTTGCGAAAAGCCGCCATGGAGACGGTACTGCGGTATTCTGTGGAAAGTAATCCATTTTATAATGACGAACGATTGTTACATGTTTTCTGTATTGTTGTAAGTGATTATTTAATTGAAAATGTTAAAACGTATAGAAATAATATAGTTGTAAGTATGCTAATTGGAGAGCAAGATCTTGAATAAATTGGCAGCATAAGGGATTTTTGTCTGCGTCCTCAGATATTATGTTATTATCAATTTGTCAAGCATATTTGTTTCTTTTAAATTAGGTGTAGCAGTTATTTGCTAAAATATGACTTTTTGCTTTTTTGAAATAACCGTACCAAGTGCTCTTACAAGTTTGGATTCAGGGGAAATTAAGTCGCACAATGGGAATGAAATTAGTAATGGAAGAATTACATAATCGAAAACAATTTTATGAACTGGCAGAGTTTTACGTCAAATGGGGAGAGGTAAAGAATTAACTTTTTTGCAATTGTGTTAAAGAGAGTTCGTCTAACTGAAGCTTAAAAAATGTATTTGTTTCAGATTTTTGCAGAAGAAAAGAACAAGGAGCGTTTTAATGAAATATGGAGTGAGGCCATAAAAGCAAATGCTAAGCCAATATCGCGAATTGATGAAGCTTTTAGGTGATAACATTTTTTATGACTGAACATAGATTTGTAATATAATATTTTATAATTGTGATGCAATATATATCCGTAATACTTTCATTGATTATTAGCATTCAGTGTTACAGTGTTCCGATTTTATTTAATTTCGTCATTCATGAAATTGTTATCATCGCTAATTTATTGGACATTTTTTCTGCAGATTCAACATCTTTAAATAAATCTCTCAAAAGAAGATTGTTTATCTCTAGAGCTTTATCAACATCTATCTCTCGGTTTACCGGTCATAATAATGGATTATAATGAAATTTCAGAGCCATGCTTTATCAGTATTTCGAAGTGGACGATGAAATGACTGTAAATTTGTTCAAGAAACCCGGTATTTTTTTAATTACAAGTGGATAAAGTAAGCGGCTATTAGAATTTTGTTTCCTAGATTTTAATACTGCATTTTTAGATTCATCAAAAGATTCGAAAATGATGTTTGGAATTGTTGGAACAACACAGTAAGTTTTTTAACCTATGTATTTTTTGGTATATAAATGTAGAAGAAGTTAGTTTCTTATATATTGTGAATTGTAGCATGGAACAAAAAGCATCTGAAGGTGGTGAGCGCTCAATAAAATTGACTTCTTCTAGAGTAAAAAGTTATTTGAAAATAATTGATGAGCAACAATCAGTGGAGGAAATATTCGCAGAAACAGGAAATTATACTGTTCATTCGGATGTGCTTCGGAGGTTGGTGATTTGGAAAAAAAGTTTCTAGAATATTTCTATTTTTAATTTGAAATGACAAAAAAATAAGGGAGAGATGTCTGTCAAATATATTAAAAGAAGTTATATCTATACTGTTATCTAAAATAGCAATAAGATCGGAAATTGTTTTCAAGTATTTAAAAAATTTTAAAAGTCTGTTATTAGCAAAGGATTAACTTTCCAGCAGAATGTCAATTTCAAAACTATCAGCTATAAGCGAGGAACGAAGTGGTTGCGCCAGTGGTTCCTTGATGAATCCATCCAACAATATAGAATTGATGAAGTCAACACAACCGTCAGCAGGCGGTACGGTTGATGGCCCATTTGCATTAGCTTACACTGCTGATGCTGGAAATAACATTCTCGTGGAGACAGATGTCCTCACCGATAAACCATCTGGTAGCTGTTTTCAATCTATAATTCAGTAGCTATTTTGTTTTTTGATGACTTTAAGAAGCAGAAGCAATACTTGCAGAATGTCCACAGTCTTCGCATCTCACACTCCATGGTACTTCATTCACGGAGAAATTTCTGAGTAAGGCGATGCGCGATTTCTCAAGCACAGTCCCAGTTCCACCTCCCCGTTCAGGCAGTCATTTTTTTTAAACAGTATAACGATTTTTATTTTGCAAACGTTTAATCGTGTGCAAATTATTAAATTAACAATTAATAATCATATAAAAATAATGTTCAAATCTTATAAACAGTAACATAATATAATATTGATGGAGATTTATATTGCAATACCAGTTTTAAAATAATACATAAATTCATCAATTTAATTGATTATAGTGCATCACGAAACAGAAGAAACAACAGTGTTGCAAGAAACAGTTCTAAATGAAAGTCTACAAACTCAATTTATTCCTGTCACAAAGAAAACAAAATTTGAAGTAATTTTTGCAATATTCGTTGAAATATCCTATTTATTTTCTTTTTTTTTAATTTTTGTTTCTGCATAGGTTTATGTGGAAGAAACTGAACCAGCGAAGCAAACCGAGCCATTTGCTATTTATAGTGATGAGAATATCATGTCATCTTCAGATATTTCGAAAAAAAGGTTTACATTTTTGTTGTCATATTTATGAAGTACATGAATGTGATGTTTGTATAATGCGATGTTATAGATTAAACACGGAGCTGGATTTGGACTATCAAAAAAATATAAACATGCGTGATGACGATGCCTATGAATCTCAGCCTGCATTCAGAAAAGTAAGTCATTTGCTGCCTAATATCTATGCAATTTTAGAGAAAAGAAACAAATGCTTACCTGCAGCTTAGCATAGATTTACGTGTTAATCCATTTCGGTAATACGAGAAGTGGGAGATATCCATGTCAACAAGTTAACTCCGACTGCAAGATCTTTTAATGGTTGTTGCTTAAGTATGCTAATAACTCATGATGTGTTTGATTCATCATTCAACTATTAATTATTTTCAATTATTTAGCAATTATGTAGCACCAATTATACAGAACAGAAGCATAAATGGAAAAGATGAAAAAAAAGTATATGGTAGAAAAAGAAATTTTCAAACTTTTAATGGAAATCAGTGACCAAGAAAATCGGAAATAATTCTAACCCTGATATAAATACGGTTTTATAGCCTGCGATAACTGTTCACATCCGTCATTCATCAGTTTTGGGGAAAACTGAAACTGCATCATTTGAACATGATAACGAAACATCGACAGAGATAGAAAAACGGAAGTGTGTGGGTTAGTCGTAATATTTCAAATTGTGTTTTAATGGTATCCACGCGAGAATTTGAAGACCAACGCTTAAAAATGAAATTTAATTTTTCTGGTTTTGTGCTTTTTAGGAGTGAAACCTCCTCTCCCTGATCGTATTGATGAGGAAACATTGGCAGGTTTGAACAAAATGGTTAAAACAGGAGTGGTGACATCGACACCAGCAAATGATTTCGCACCTCCAATCGAAGATCCGATTGAGGGTTAGCTGGTATCATTCATTCAGCATGGGATCTTTGTAATTAATGTAATTTTATACATATTTAGAATCGTTTCGTCCACTTCCTTCAAATGCAGCTGATCCTTTTTTCCAAAAACCGATGTTTGACGAAGCTCTTATTGCAAATACTGCTTTTGGTAGACGAATGAGTATGTCCGAAGTTTGTTTTTTGATTTAATTTAATATTATTTGCGAAAACGATTACAGTAGAAGGAATACAACGGGAGAGTAAGAATTTTCATCTTAAATTTACAGTTCATTTGTAGCAACGCCAGAATACTTTGACAAAATTGTCACAAAAAATTGGTGTTGAGAATATTGTCGGATGTAAGAAAATGGGACTGGCTGTTACCAACAATATTAGTGAGGGACTATGTCGACTCTCGATTGCGCCAAATGACGAGGATTCCAATGAAATTACTAACAAAGGATCGAGGCTAGTGTGCATCTTTTTGCGGGTTTTTTGAAAAGTACATGGACAGCGTTACTTATAAAGTTGATAGTTTTTTCATGGAAATATTATACCGAAAGAGAATTCATTATAGGTTGCACACTGACTCCGAAATAAATCCTTGGGATGAAAAATTACGGGACAAAATTATGACCAGCCAACATTTCTGTCCAACAAATGTTCATGATTTCGCGGTAATTCACATTATATATGGATATAAACTGCTTTTATTCTTCAAGTACTTGCTATGTGATTCATTATATTTTGAAATGACTTCAAAATTTTCTGCAATAAAAAAGAAAGTTAATTTTTTTTTACAGGAAAGATGCAATCGCCTTAGTCCTGGTGCTGTTGTAGTTTTAGGAGGTGAACGTTTTGATATTGAATGTCTGATCGGCGAAGGTGGTTTCGCTAAAGTTTACAAGAGTAAATCAGAAGACGGTAACTTTTATGCGGTGAAGGTATTTTTTTCCTGTATTTACTTAGTCTTATGGAAGAATCTGGAGGATAACGGCTTTAGTTTAAATATCTTTAACTATTAAGATTTTCGATTATAAAAGATAATTGAAAATCCATCTGAATATTTCCATCATTCCGGCTGTTTTGTTCATTGCAATATTTACACTGATTTATTGTAGTTTGAAATGCCACCGTGTAAGTGGGAAGTTTATGCTTGTGAAACATTGCGTGTTCGAATGCCGAAAGGAATGTTGGATGGTATAATGACTATCCGCGATGCATACTTATTTTCGAATGCAAGTGCCATTGTTTATGAATATCACAAGCATGGGAATCTCCTCGTGCGTTTCTTCCATTTCCATTAAAATCGTATACCTTTTCATAATCTCATCTTAATTGACTTTTAGTTTTTAAAATACAATTTTCTAAATTTATTTTACGAAGCTCGGATGTGTTTTGCATTTTTTTCCACTTGATTTCCATAATATTTGTTAACCTTTCAGGATATGATAAATAAATTACAATCGAAGAATATGTCATGCTCAGGTCTCTTAACGGTTTACCTCGCCTGGGAGATTGGACGAATATTAGAGGCAGTTCATAATGCCCAAATAATACACGGCGATGTTAAACCCGATAACTTTATGATCCTTCACCGGTTACTTATAATTTTTATGGATATATGAATGGATTTTCATTACACTTTGTGTAACTTTGTGATTCTTCAGATTAAACGAAGATGCCACATTAGAACAAATTTTCGACAAGAAATCTTTTACGTTGAAATTGATTGACTGGGGACGTGCTATCGATATGAATTTCTTGAAAGGACACACATTCCAAGGAAAAGCTGGTACGGTCGCCTTCGACTGTTCGGAGATGCAGGTAAGGTTTTATTTTCGGCAAATGACTGCATATTTTTGAGCAAATTTTATACATCGATGTCTAACAAACGATATCATTATTTCGAATCATTTATAAAAAATATTCAGGATGGTCGGCCGTGGACATACCAAACAGATTTCTACGGCTTTATTTCAACACTTCATGTTATAATGTATGGAAAGTATATGAAGACGTACCGGAATACTACCGGACGATACAGCGCGACATCTGTAATGAAAAGGTTGCTCAATTACGTTTTCCTAACTTGAATCTTTAAAAATTAAAAAATCTTCAATGCTAAATATGAGGTTTCTCGAGCAATATCAATAGCACAGAGGAAATATACTAATAATTACTAGTACTAACAATGCAATTTTACATACTAATGAGTTTTTGGTTTTAGTTGCATCATTCGTAACGATGATGAATTTTTATTTTAATATAGAATTTTAATTACTAAACAAAACACAAACTTCGGCGTCCATACATCATTCACTCATCTCATTGCTATTTCTTCAATAAAAAGCTTTTTTTGCTTAAAAGAGTTAAAATAACTTAATATCACAGTGAAAAGGAAGTGAGTAGGCGTCATGTTGACCTGAATACTGTTTTTTTGCAGACGCTGGCCCCAACGAGAGTTACTAGAAGATATATTCGACATGTGTTTGAATATACAGGACTGTGAATCAATTCCCAAATGGTCGACAGTAACTGATGGTCTGGAAAACAATATTAGGCACGTCATGAACAGCATTCTTGCCTAGAATTCGTTAAGTTTGAAATGTAATATAAAAGCATACAATAATAGAGGTTTTCATTATAGATACTGGATAAAAGAGGATCGAAAAGTATGGAAACAAGCAGCTCAAGAATTGAATGCTGGCATTACTCTGTGAAACTGCTGTGAAATTTGTTGAATATCTTCTCCTAAAAAATGCTAAAATTTAAACGGATGAGGCTTTAGGCAAACACATCTGCCATTTCGAAATTCTGGAAAAACTCTTTGCCCTCAATGATTTTCAAATTATAATGCACATTAATATGACAGTAAACCGCTAAACAATATAGTACGACTTTCTTTTTCCATTTTTCTCGATAACATCAGATATAATGTTACTAGAAATATGTCTGATTAAGAATCTTAATAGGAACTGAACTGAGACGATCGGTACGAAAATATCCAAGTAAATATTATTCGTAAGATCTTTAAATGGTTACAACTGTTCTATCAATGAACCATCTTCGTTCCACTTTGTATAATACGATTTTGTCACATAACAATGTATTACTCCGTGGTTCTTGAAAAAGAGAATACGTTTATCGAAATTAGTGTGAAAACTTCTATAATGTGCTCCTTCATCGGTTAATTTAACCAATAACCGGTGGCCATCATTGATTTCTCAGTATCTATCTGATTTTAAAACTTTACCGATAGTTGACACTTAATGTTACCTCAAATAAACGGTGATGTCCAACAAAAGAAGCCAATGACATCGTTGGATGTATTGCAATACAAGTCTTCGAAAACAAGTTTATGTAGCGCAAATAGTTCTATGCTAACTTCCAGTTAATCCCAGTGTAAATATGAATCTCATCCAACGTTTTCATTTGGAAGCACGCATCGATAAATCCAATAATAAGAAATGAAGACACGGCTATAGTGACTGGTGACAAGAACTATAATCAATATTTGTAAGACCAGTAGCTTAATGAGAAATTATAATGCGCTTGTAAGTTCCCCTTTTTGATATATTTTCTTGCAATCATCCTGAACTGCTCTGATACAGGTCAAACGAGAATGAGAGACGCCATTACTGATTACCCTTCGTATATTATCGTTATCAATGTTACGTAAAAGGTGTAATGGATGATATAAATTTTGCGGTATTGCTGAGTTCACAGAACATACTTCGCTTAAGAAGTGGAATAAAAAAGGAAAATTTAATGGACTTATGGATAAACGAAGTTTTACAGGAATTCATAAATAAATAGACATATTTCTTCCAATGTTGGAAAGAGCTCAGTCTTTACAATTTTGAAGATTTTTAAGCGAAGTGGAGAACCGACTATTAACTTCCCTCCTCTGCCACTACCTCACATCACGCCCCACCTCAGCCTTCGTCCCGTTGGCGCTGACTACCTCTCACTCCCAATCTCACAGCTACCATAATACTTTGGGCACTTTGCCAAAATATTAATCATCTATTACAGCTGTAGACTGTCATGTGTGTTGTCGTCTACAGGTAATATTTGCTTGCATGCATGTAGTGTGTGTTAACGTATGTATGTGTATCTCTTGTACGTGTATGTGAATATGCATATGCATAGAGACATAATATATATGTGAAAATCTGTGACGTATATTTTGTATTTAAGTACAGTACGTTGCATGTGATGTATCTGGCGTGTGTGCATGTATGTGTGTGTGTAGATTTTTCACGAAGCCCCTAATACAGGAAAGATAGGTGTGTACACGACGAGTACAGGAAGATGGAGCGCTGTACAGATTCATCTTTAGAGACACGGAAGAATGGGAAAGACGAGTGAATAGGTTATGAAAGAGCAGAGATGATAGATGGCGTGTGTTCGGTTTGTTGGGTTACCTGTGATCAAGTACGTTTCGGGATAATGTGAAGCCATGTTAATAGTAAGTTCAGTAATACGTACTTATCATCTCTTACTATCATTCACCTCACTTCCCCACGCTTTCTTCGCGATCCGTTAAATGTAATTCCATCTTCATTCTTTTGAAATTACATAGAAGACATGAATGTAATTATCACTAGAAATCTGACGTAGTATACGTTTTAATGTTACAGCACTAACGCTAGATGGGGAACGGATGCGATGGTAGGAAAGGACAGGTGAAGGAAGGAAATGCTAGACGGAGGGAGGGAAAAAGAGAAGTTCAGAGAGGTATGAGGAAAGAGAGGAAGAAGAGGGAGAGAAAAGGTTAGAGGGTGTGAGGTAACTGATTGCTTTTGTGGAAATTTTTGCTGTTTATTGTCGTACTTGCACGCTTAACTTCCGCTTGCAAAATTCGTACCATTGCTATTGTGGTTCGTGTTGAAATTTGCATTATGTGCAATTATTTGACGCTCATATTACACATATATAGTCATGAAATGCTGATGACCACAGAATTGAATTAAGCAATATGATTAAGGTTAGCATTCTTTGGTTGAGTGATCGCTGACCACAGGAAGCGACCAGAGATTTGTGTTTTCTATAGGTGATGTAAAAAAGATTCTGCTTATTTTTGGTATTAGCTTTTCAAAATGTTCTTGTTTCTGTTTACCTGACGCGTTCGAGTGATTTGTACTTATTGAGTGTATGAGAAAACGTTCAAGACAGTCCAGAGAATTGGGAAGTTGATGAATACGTTAACGTTATGGATATTCATGTTACTCACTCTTTCCATTTCAGATTTAGGTTTGAAGTCTTTCTCAGCGAAGCATTACTCCCGAATTTTTTCTTATGGCAAATAAGCCACAATTAACATTTGCTCGGATTGTATCCGGAACTATCGATACGAACGGTGCTAGTACTAGAGGTGTTGCGATAACGCAAATCCCTGTCACTGCCGCGGTTGCTTCAACTACTACTGCTGCTACTATTACTGCTATTACTACTACTACTACCACCACCACCACCGCCACTACCACTACTACCACAACAACTACTACTACAACTGTTACTGCTGTTACTACTACTACTGCTACTACTACTACTGCTACTACTGCTACTGCTGCTACTGCTACTGACACTACAACTGAAACGACAAGCAGTGAGATCACAGATGTAAGTATTATTGCTATGGAATCAGGAAGTCACACGAATAATACTACGCCCGGAGATTCAGATGTTGTAACTGCGCCATCTATCCCAAACTCTTTCGGTAAAAACAAAGACGGTTTACACCAACGATTTGTTGAGGAACGAAAATTGGATTCAGACGGTAATGCTCATGTTCAACGTTCTACACAGTTTGGACAACACCAACAGAATCAGTATAATCAGCATATTCAGCGACGTAATAAACCGCGTCCCAAAAGTGATCGTTTACGAAAGGTTATTCTGAAAAATGTTACATGGCTTGCTTTTTTTATATGTTTCATTTTACAGTGCATAGTTAGTGATTTTTTTTTTGTGAAAATAAATGTAGTTTAGGATAAAGGTTCACTTTGCATTCCATATGCCTCGTCGTAAACTTGCTTTTTAAGGGCTGGAAGTAGTGCTCACAAATAATTGGAAATTAAGCTAATTTTATGTCACAGATGTATACTTCAACTATACTTTTTTTTCTAGGATGATGGCGTATTATCAGCAGGTAAGGAAGAAAGTGAAAGACATACGGAGCAACAACATGAGGTAGTTTTAGGTCCAGCCCCACTTCCAGCTGTGAACGCCTGGTTCAAACAGTCTACAACAGGTAGGCTAAGCTCTTTCGGTCTGTTAATGTACACGGTTTGTGAAAAAAAATGTTGTGGTTCAGTATAAGGTTAACATTTGTAGATTTTTACGCTGTATTTTTTTTGCTTATCATTGTTTTGCTTGTTAATTAACATCTCGGTTAAACTGCCTGTTACCATTTTTTGAAATGCAGATTATATTATATTAAATTGAGCTATGTTGCATCGTATTTGTTTTTGTTGTATTAGCCATGTTTTGTTGCAGTTTCAGCCCGTTATTTCTCATCTTTTATTTCAAAGCGCAAAGTAACTCCATATGAAGCATTAATAATTATTACCCCATAGAATTTTCTGACTGCACAATGTACACTCGTAAAAGTTATAGCTATAAGAGAAAAATTCAAAAATTTGCTTGTTTTAGAAGCAAAAGAGTCAAAGGAAAGTGGCGGATTGAATTCTCAGATATCTTCAGTAAAAGAAGAAGCGGATTCACAGGAAGTATCACTATCTTTGAAAACGATGGAGGATGATAAGGACAGTATTATTAAGGTTTGTTTTAATAGGAAGTCGGCAAACTTAATTCAGTTGATCATCCACTAGTTGAACCTTATCGGGAAAAGGAAGAGATAAGAAATGTTTTATTGAGATTATCAGCCTTGTGCAATCTGATCTCTGTAGTCTCATCAAAAAAATAAAACATCATACATTTTACTTGATTAAGTCAACCTTGAAATAGATAGATTATGTTACTGGTAGAGTTTAATTGTTCACTGTTGTGGACGCGTTCTAAGACATTATCCAGTTTTTGACTTCTTCATGCTTCAAATATGTCGCCATCTCTAGTGTTCATTTAATTTTGCTGGACACATAAAAATTATTTAAGATGTTATATTTTGCGAAATATTGATTTTTTTCGAAGGCAGTTGTCGACTTCGTTAATAACGAATTTAAATAAAGTGAACGAGAAAAATTTATTGGGATTTTTGCGCTTATGAACTTCATCCGTAATATTTGCAACAAGAGTTATATTCGATATTTTGACCTGATAGATGTGGACTTTGCCTATTCCTTTCTGGCTTGACAATTACGAGTTCACTATGTTATTCTTACTTATTGTTCGCTATGTTTGCCTATTTGATATAAATATACCAGTCAGGTGCGTTTTCAAAAATATTTATTATCAGTTTTGTTTATTCAGTTAGTGGCGCAAGAAACGCTAATATTCACGAGTGGAAATAATTCGAACAAAATGGCAAAACCTCATTCGGGTCAAACAAAACAGGAAAAGCAACTTGACGCTGAAGTACGTATCCATAACATAATTAATGTAATATTGTCATAATTCTGTGCTCTGATGTTAAAGCTGCTCTCGCAGTGCGAGTGCACAAATATTATTATATCCCGATTTTCATTTGTATCACACCGTTTCTTCCTCTTTTTTTTCTAATCCTTTATACCGTTATTGGTGATTATTAATTAGGCTTGAAGACAAACCATGCAAATGCACTTAATAAGCAAGGTTCATGTCAGCGGTCATGTATTTATAAATTTTCTGGCATGCAGGCAACCGTCACCTCATAGGCAAAACCAACACATAAAGCATGTTGTTAATACTTTATTTTTTCTACAATCTTCTGAAATATTTCAATTTTTAGCATAACAAAAAATTAGCTACTATCCGTATTTTTTAAGTAGTTGAAAAGTTAGTTTTTTAATCTCACTTTTAAATTCTGGAAGTCGGCCTCTTTTTACCGATGTAATCCTTTTCCTGAAATGTATTTTCGATCACATCAATATTCATCTGAATTTCTTAGGCATATCATGTTTTTGCTTGCTGTGCATCATATATTTCCAGTAACAGTTTCCTTGCTCAGATGAGATAAGCTTCGTTGGTTTATTATAAGACTAAGATATGCATAGGATTGGCAAGCTTGGCTTTTGCGAGTTTTTAATATTCATATATTTTTCTCTATACTGTTAATAGATTTCAATCAAATTTTATCTTTTAAGACAACGAATGTAGATGACAAAGCTTGGCCATCACTCAATGAAGCCGTCAATGAAGAACTGAAACTGGATAGCGTGATAAATAATGCAAAGGGGGGTATTGTTAGTCATGAAATGATGAAAGTTACTGACGGTTCGGAAACGGTATGTTATACGGTCAAGTTGATATCCTTTGTGCTCTTGGCACGTTTTTCCGCTTGCGATTTATCGTTTTGATGATTTCTCCTTAAACATTTCTTTTGTTACATAATACTAAATTTGGAAATACGACATTTTGGATATAAAACGATTATTGCTTCCTGGTAATGATCGAATCGATCACTTTTTGTTATTTTTAAATTGGTGCATTTTTGTTGTTAGTAATGTCCCAAGATTTGGGGTAACTTTGAAGCTTGTTGATAATTGGGAAAACTTCAGGATGTGAAGCAAGATAGGGATAAAGAAAATGAAAATAATGGAATTGGAGGAAAAAGCAACAGAAGCAGCAAAACATGGAAGAAGTTGGACATTGATGTGGATTATGCGGGACGTGAAGGACAAGGAAGACGAGGCAACAGTGGAACAAGTAGCAAGAGTGATCATCCGCAAAAAAACAGGTTTTTAGAGGATCCTCTTGAACTTTATTTGTAACATAATTAAAAATAATCTTCTGAGCAAAAATTTTCATTCATTACATATAGCTTAATTAGCAGGCCATCTTTATGAAATTTTGAGATGCTCAGGCTTTTTTTTTCATTTTTCTTTCTTGAAAATGCTAATTTATATGTTAAACTCTTCATTATTTTTGGAAAGATTTTTATGATAGGATTGAATGAATTTTACTGTGAATTCCCCGTGTGCAGAAGTGATCTGTACTGCTCTTTAAATATACGGTTTTTTTGTAGTGAACTATCATCGACTGTTTTTTCCGGGATTATTTGTCCTTTGCATTTTCTTTTCATTTTTTTCCAATGATTGGATATGAAGTGAGCTTGCTTAGTATATGCTTTTTTGAAATCTTTGAAGTGCATAAGCTTTTTTTAGTTGTAATTATAAATTTCATATTTGCTTAGTCCATCCCATGCGAAGATTTCATTGTTCTTCAAAATTACTGAATCAGTCTAGTTAATGTCTTTCCATGTTATTGATCTCTTCACGTAATAGGCTGGTTGTCTCATTCAACAACCGCGCTATAGTCGTGTTCTTTTGGTCTTTTTACAGACCACATAAACACATACAATTCTTTCCTCCTTGATGATTTCACTTGTGATATGCAACATAATTGAAGGGGAAAGAAATTCTGTGTGAGTTATTTATTCAATGTGCCATTTCCGATGGTCAGGACGAAATGTCAACAAATATGCATCAAGCAGTTCTCTTAAAAGTATAATGAAATACTCTAGCAGGAGAGGTCCGAGCTTCGCGAAACAGCAAACAGTAAAAGAACACAGCAATCCATCCTACGGGGTCATCACCGATCCTGCTTCAACGACCGAAAATGCCTCAAAGATCGCACCAGCATTAGCGCCTGCGTCTTTGTTGGGTTGTGCACAACCGTTATCATGCATTGCACCGGCACTTATATACAGTCCTGAATGTGCTACCGTCAATGAGGAATACGCTGAGGAAGACTATTGGTAAGATGTTGTTGCGTTGTGTGCCGCCTGCTGTTGCTCCAACCTGCTCACTTTCCTTACAGTAACAGCTTCTGTCTTCAAATTCTAACCCGATTTCATGTTTTCAAGGCATTAATAATAGTCGAACTGGATGATGAAATTTAATTGAAAAGATGGGAAAGTCAGGAAATATCAGTGTCCGAATTGCAATTGGCAGCGAACGGACTTGTTGCTTCAAGTCCAGTGCACCCTTTCGATGTCAGCTTTAGGAAGGTAGAATGAAAAATTGGGAATTTGATGTATCCATATTATCCTTCATTTTCTTTATCCACTTTGTCCCGTTGCCTACATAAGTGCTGTAGCCTTCGCCAAAAATTGCTATATCGTTACACCTCGTGCTGCATCTCTTATCCTTCTTTCAAATGAATTTCAAACACTGATGATGTGATATTTCTCTTAAAGTATCATTGACTTTTTACTCTTGCTCGAAATGGTATCTTCATCGTACATTTCCAGGCATTGGGAAGTGCCATGCATTGATATATATATAGGTAAATAGATTCATACTCGAGTAATTGTAGTCATTTAGCTACTGCTAGGATCGAATATCAATTTTGAGCAGTCTCAGTATATTTCTACCAGAGAGTAAGGTTATGGCTGTTATCTGTAATCGTCACAGTTTGTACCCCGTTTTACTGATTTCTTGTACTCAACCGAGCACATTTTTTCAAATACTGCTTGATTTATGTAACTGTTCTATAATTTATTTAGGGAAATTTTATGATTCCTCGGATTGAAATTCCCATGTATATCTGAAGTTTTTGAAGTATGTCGACAGGACGGGGTCAGTTTACGGACTAATTGCAACATCCGCATTGGCATTCATTGATCACTTTAGACTTATTTTAAAGAATCCTTATTATGTATAATGTTATCATTATAAATTGTCACAGTTACTTTATTTGCTAGACATGATCCTACTGATCCAACTTGCATTAGTGTAATGCTTTTTTAAATTTGATATGACCTCCCAGAAGGCTTCATAATATGTAAGTTAACAGTTTTGATTATTTTTCTTTTCATTGTTCTTCTCAAATCGATAATGGGTGAAACTTTTGGATTACAGTGTTTTTAAATTATGCATTTCATGAAGGGACTTCAGTAAGTATTTGGAGTTTATGGATGAATGAAGTTTACAAGAGATATCTGGACAGCTGTATATGCTATCTTCGAAAAAGTGAATGCTTAAAGATATTTCAAAGAAAGGCGCCATGAACGGAATATTAGGAAATTTACTGAAAAAGATGGAATTTTTCTTATGAGCTAATTGCACAGAATTCTTATATGGGAATTTCCCATGGTGCGTTTTTAATAATTAAATACTAGCTGCTTGTGACTTTTCACATCTAGGAATTCTGCGAACGTGAGCTGAATGTCACTCATGCATTTTTTTTGTTTGTTTAAATGTGAGCTTGTAAATCTACAATTGACGTGCAAGCTATGCATGCATGCAGTTGCACATGAGTTTGTATTTTTGTTGGTGCTTCTAGTATCTGGAGAGTTGAAAGCTTTATTTCTGTTCCTGATCGTTTTTCATGGTGTGTTACTCGGCCCAAATGGCAACGTTGAAATGATAATAATACATGCCAAGTATCCATGCACATGCACATACACACACACACACACAACGACATACATGCTATATACGCGAACATTTGTATGCGTGCACTGATGGTCGGATCCGGAGGATCAGCTAGTTTGGACACCTTTTATGAAGTTATAGCTTGTTCAAGTGTACGTGTGAGTAGGTGTTAATGAATGCAGATAGAGAAGCGGTATTGTAGTAGTAGAGTAGTCTAGACATGTGAGATATTTCAGTTGCGGAGAAATCGATCTGAAAAAGGAATGAAATTTGGGAGTTAGGGTGAGGTGGAATGGTGGGGTGAGAGAGTTTGTAGCATTCGCCAGCCAGCCGACCGTCGCATTTCCATAGTCAGTAGAATCGTCACAGACGCACACACTATCACCGTCTCCTTTTCCTGCTGGACACCCTCGTATCGCAAAGTATAATGCGGAGAGAGGAAGCGCGAGTGTTGCCTATGTCCATCCTTCCTGCCAAATAGACGGACAGATGACGGTCGCTCCATAAGCGATGGCGGTGGGGCTGACTGTCTGTCTGGCGAAGTAGCACTTAGCACGCATGACACCTCGGTTATCCGTTATTATGTCCTTCCATGAGCGCAGCTAACCTGAAATGCTCGCCATTCGTGCTTCTCGTTTTCCGTAAGCCTTGTTTCGTCCATCTTCGTATTTTGAAAGGACCTGTGTACCGATGCGGCGAGAAGCGACGCGTATTTGAACTCGTTTTTCCATCGGCATCCGTTGCGGCCTTTAGCCATCCTCGTATATCGACCTGTTCATATGGTCCACTACTCTGCTTTCGTCTTGCTTCTCATGAACTACCAACAGAATTGACTCCTTACTGCTACTGCATCGTCTATCATCACTTTCTCTCGTTTACTTTTCCCCATTGTTGTTTTCATACTTTTTCCTCCTCTCTTACCACCACTTCCTCTCCTCTGTTTTTTTCTTATCTTCTATCGGTTGTTTTTTACTCGCTTGACAAACATCTACATTTGATTCAGTTTGCTGCCCTGTCTGTTGTGGTTTTGCCATTTTTTGAGTCGTCCCATCTTCTTTGCTGTTTTCGTTCGTATTGCGCCCGTGTAGGCCAAAAGACTATAACATAATAGCTTACGAAAGCGGTTTAGATCCCAGAAATTTTCTCCTGTTGCGGACAACCAGTTTGCTTATCCTAACATCGGTATCTTTATTTTCTTTTCAACTTCTGTTACAATTTAGAGAAAGTACTCATTGCAAGTTAATTGTTTTTTTTTAATTGAATATACAGTAGTAGTCAAACTTTAAAAATGAATCTTACTTTTTACTGATCTTAACCGCTAGTCTTCGTTTTTTGTCAAAGTGTGTTCCGTGTATTTTGTACTTTTGAGCTGCTTATGTCATTTAAGATGATTATCAACACCTAACTAAACAATGTGAGCTCCTAAATTTCTGGACCGACACTCATCTTGTCGTGCTACTGTTTCACATACGTTGTCAGAAATTTAATTTAGATATCTGTTGAGCTTGTTAAAAACATTTTGGAAAACGGGAACTCATTGTTTCATAGAGTATATCACTTTTTTTTTATTACGCTACTTTTCCAGTTACTTGTTCTGACTTTATTACGATGAAGTTTGAGCGATAATAACGGTAATATTCGATTTACTTTTTGTCGGTTCACAACATAAACTGATTGCATTGAAGTGATAGATGTGGAATGAACGCAAGTTCTGCAATCTATGGACGTTAAAAAAATCGAGCATTCTTGAACGAGGGTTAGAGAATAAATCTCCAACACATTACACTTAATATCGTTTTAATATGAATTATTGGGAGGGTGGTGGCATCGAATTCATTTTTTTTTTTGCGTTCTACAGTACATCTGCAGGTTCTTTGTTGCATTTATTTGCGAACGATGATAACCTTTGATCAGTGAATAAAATTACAATCATTAAATTGTCATGCTAATTTTTTAAAGTCCCTTGCTTTGAACTACCGGTATTAAGAGATAAGTCTTTTTGTGTCTATATTCCGATTATAGTCATTCGCTGTTGTAAAATGACGAAGTGATTCTATGAATACTCCAGGATTTGTTATTCATTGGAATTTATATTGCTAAAAAAACCTAACATTGCACTGCTTGCATAACACTAAATGTTCTTTGTCACCAAAGATTTTTATTACATACGCTTGACATCGAGAATTGCATTCGTTGCTTTGACATTGAACATTTGCTGCTGTATGCTTTTTAAATGTTATATATATATATATATATTAGTTACGAAACACTGAATAACTTGCTTAGCCTTTTTTGTCTCATCCTTCGTGTTAATTTTCATCCTCTCGTTGGTAATGATGATGATGATGATGATGATGATGATGATGATGATGATGATGATGATGGTAGTGATGAACAAGCAGCATATTAATTTCACTTGGTTTGTCCGTCTCTCCTCCTCCCTCTCTCTTTGTAACAGTAGTACAATATCCGATGTGCTCATCGGATTAATTAGCATTTTTTCTTCCAGGTACTTGGATACAGCTTCAAACGGATTTTACTATCAGTTAGAAGGAAACCAAGGGTGGAAGAAAAAAGTGGATTCTGATGGTGATTTTGCTGGTACACACCATCATTATTACAATATACCGCCCGTACAGGGGCAAAAGCCTATGGTTACGGCAGTGCCTCTAATCCCATATCCTTCTTATCAACCGAAAGCCCGCAATCAGAAAGCAATGAATACAAATCCACCGCAAAGGTTTCTTATTTATGAAAGTACTGCTTCTTTTCTGTTTCATTTTCTTCATTTTCTTTGCTCATAACAGGTGACTAACGCAGCCTAAATGTTATTTTGTTCCACATGAAAAACATTTTAGAAACTTTGATATGCAATTTTTGGCTTTCGGGGAAGAATACATGATCAAGTTAAAGCTGAGCCACGTGCATTAGGAATAAGCGTTGAGATCAGTGTTGTTCGTAACGTCTTCGAACCGTTAATTAGAGAAAAGTGATAAAAAGAATATGATGGGTGCAAGTGCTAATGTGTAGTATTGATTATAAATAGTGTTTTTACGAATTCATGTACACTGTCTTTTGTCTGATAGCGTTGGGATTTACAAAGGATTTAAACACAAAGATTCTCAAATTTTTCCGTTTGAGTGAATCTCTTCCTTTTATTTGTAATCTATATTTCATTAGCAAAACACTTCGGAAGCATGCTTTGATATGCACGTTTGATTTATTAACAGTTCTCGTCTAATGCATCATTTTACGGGATTTTGAAGCTGTGATATAAGTTACGTGATCGGGAGTTTTTTCGACAGAAAATTAAGTCGGATGTCACAGAAGTCACAGAACTGATCTTAATACATAGGTATTGAGCACTGATAATCCTTTTCAATAGCTTTTATGCAAAATCCTGTTATGACCTCCGCCTACTCTTTTACATTTAACGGTAGAACGATAAGTTAAATCTGATCATTTTAATGTGCATCGCAAGTGTCGTGAAAACGAAACCTCAAACAAATAGTGAGATAAATTTCTTTGTC